AGTTTATTGAGATTATAAAATATCCAAACTCCGTATAAACTCATCCCCCTTCCCCTTCATTCCATTCCGATTCCACCAGATGACATATTCATATGTAAAAAAAAAGTTATAGCAAATGATAAAAAATTTTTTTATCCAATAGAATGATTTTAAAAAAAATGTTATTTATGATATTGTAATTAAAATTCGATAATTTTGCTATATCATAATGAGTCCAAGTGTGATATCTAAATATACAAATGTATGTAAAACCGCAAAAAGGCGAAACGCAAAAATGAATTTCAACAGGCAGGAGATCAGAGGTTAGACTAGAAGACAACAGCTGTGCAAAAGTGAACGAAAGAGTGAAAGATAAAGAGAATGAGATATACATACTCATAGCAACGTCGTTGGCGATGGTTGGCGTCGTCGAAAGCCAAAAGTAAAGGCATTACCGCACGGTAAAAAAGGAACAGGGAGGGATTAGGCAGGCCCGACAAACTGACGCCAACAATCCTACTACAAGTAAAACGAATAACCCACGCAAAGTGAATAAACATTCACTAACACACGCATTCAACTTACCACATAACAAGTCAGAGTAAGTAGAAACGAATGAATAGACGGTCTAGTCAGCGACGCATCGGAATTCCTTCTTACCTTATGTCTACACCTACACACGCATCAAACAACACGCGTGTACCTATATACATTTCTACATAACCTCTCTATACAACTACAATAACCAATTATACGATCATCATGACGACACTTGGTAATATATATTATCATCTCACCTAGGATTCTTCAACTCTTAAATAAAAATATTTATTATTGTTATTATTAAACCGTACTAATAGACAATCAAGGATAAATGATGTGAGGTTGTTGTTTACTACTGTGTAGTGGTAATTATGGATTATTATGCATACGGAAGTTGAGTATTTTGTAATCCACTCGAGAAATTGTTCAGAATGATAACTTATATACTTACATACTATACTATATTTTGCGAAATTTATTTTTCCTGATCCTCCACTTCTACATCAAGAAAAAATTTCTATTTCACCGATATTTTATTTAAAAAATTTCAAATTATAAAAGAATAGGTTTGAATTAATTATTTTCTTTAAAAAGTTGATATTAAATGAAATAATTATATTGAACAGAAAATTTGAAAGGATTGATAGAAACTTGTTGAAGTAAGAATCCAAAGTAGTATCCAAAACAAAAAAAAAAGGATTATATTAGTAAGAAGAAATAATTAATATAATTCTCTAGCATATTATTCAAATAAACCTTAGTCAATTAATAATTAAATGGTGAAAGATAAATACTCTAACCTGTTTTAGAAGTGAGAAAGTATTTTTCATGTATCAAGAAATAAGACAACATCAACAGCAGCAAATGAATATTTCATAAACTTCCCAGTTACACTGTAAATCCAAAGTGTGTTACAGTAAATATATCTGCACGTGTTTAATGTTAAACTCCATAAACAAACTATAGATTTTAACACGCCATCAAAAATGACCACAAATTTTTAAAGTTTGTGTACAGGAATTTATCATAGAAATAGTGGGAAAATTTTAATATTCAAAGGATAAATTTAATTCCATGTTACAATTATCTTATTAACTTAAGTCAAGTCAAATAACCCATCTATGAAAATTACTTGTCAATAGCTATAATAATTAATGGAATGGAGACATGTGATAGACAAATGAGAGCTAATAGACTTACAGGTATGGACTATTTATAGAAAAAAATGATAAAGACGATAAAGTGAAAAATAAATATAGAACACAGGTATAAAGCACATGCATGTTATTACGCATGGACGGAATAAGGATATGCTATGTTAGTCACATGCATTTATATATGTAGTTGCAATAATTTTCTCGGTGCCTCCTTGGCGCTGGCATTTATTTTGTCAGCCACTAAACTGAGAGCTGGCATGATATGATCAGAAATAACTTGCAAGTGTGGTCGTGTACAGTTGAGCATGGTTGTGTATATCTGTACAAACGTACGCACCGTCCAGCCAGGCCTGCTGCCTGAGAGCTGTGTACTATACTGGGAGAAACCAATCCCTCATCGTAGACGGGAGGAAAGCAAAAGGGAAGGTCGCAGTTGGAGGCCGCTCGATCGTAACTGAGAGACGAGGTCAAAGGGACGGTGAATTTCAAGTCAAGTGAAACATAAAAAAAGGAAAAACGTATATAATTGGTAAACGTACAGTCTATCTACTGGTCTACTCTGGTCTACCAATTTTACACTTTATAATACATAAAGCCCTAAAGTGCTTAGGATCTTTTGATCTTTCTTATCTTGTTCCCTGGCTCTTATAGTTGGAACTGTCAGATTATTCTCATTTTCCCTGGAGTATATAAATAGATTTTATGCAGTAGTCATCATGTTGTATACCACCTAAGAAATGATTGCTTTAAATTTGAAAGTCTAGAAGAAGTAAGTATGGAATAATTTTGTTCACTTCTTTTTTCTAGTATTTTAGAGGAATCACCTTGGTCCATGTTTATTTTCGAATATTTTGTTGATTTGGAATAAGGATCGAGAAGTTGATGACTTTGATGGCAATGATACATCTAAAACTATTTGGCAATGAAATGAATCAAAAAATTTTCGAGTAAATACTTGATGAATATGTTGATTTTATCTAGCCAGTATCAGATGATGTATTGATTGATTCCAGAAATATCTAGAAAATTCAATATAAGATGGATCCTAAGATACTTGAGCAATCAATAAATTATTTTGTAATTTAAATGCAATTATTATGTCGCCCACTTTGGTGGCGAAAAGTTGATTAAAACTAAAATTACTTGATCAATGTACATATTAACGCATACAAGTATACAAGTTTCTTGGTGACCAGTTAAATGGCCTTTAACTGTGTGAGTGGGAATTCCTCGTGGCGCCGAGTGTCTGCTACATCGTATCGTGTTGAGTCTCCACATTCACAATGGGTCTACAATAAGCTACAGCTACTACGTACACGTACACACACTTAGAAGGGGCATTTACGCTTATTTTCATCAACGATAAGCTGTGGCAGCACATCATGATTCGACGTAGTTTAAAATAATGCTACTCAGGGACAAGTAAGAGGACAGTTGCCAAGTTGTCGGAGTGACAACCAACGGCAACAAATATACACGGCACACATTCCGATTTACATTTATTTGGTTTTGAATTGAATATTTTCAGGTGTCATGATACATAATACCAATTTAAATCACGTTCTCAGAATATCCGTTGAAATCAATCGGGTTTATTATTTGGAAAACTTTCTGACTATCAGAGATGTTGGAAAATATTTCCTAGAAAATACCTTGGTGAATAACTTTCTTGGCACTGGTGTGAAATGTATGAAAGCTAGAATAATAATAGAGCTGATCATGATGATTGGAATGATAATTGTCAAGACGTCAACATTGAAGTGCATTATATTTAAATACATATTATATTGTTAGTTTATTTGACATCACGAAGAAACTTGAGGGTTTTTCTTTAAATTACAGGAAGTGGAACATAACAAGCTTGGAGTCAGCTTTGAACACAGATATTGATGCATGTATAAGTCAAACGTCCGAGTGGAGCTGAGTAAAAGACGAAGCTGCACCTTTCACCAAGACTCGTAATCATCGAGAGAAGATGGTTCAGTTGGACATCTGCCGACCATCTGCCAGGAGTAAATGCGGACAAACCACATCCCTTCTTTCTCTTTCTACTCCTCCTTCTTTTCCTTCGATTACTTCTTGCTCAACCTTTCTTCTTATTTTTTTTTCAATTATTCAACCAACTACTTTGCAAGCAAGCTGCAGTTACCGGCGACTGGGTTCTAACGAACAAGTCAAGGTGCGCTCCAGAAACATTTAAATGTCGTAATGACTGAGATTCAGAATAAATTAATTTTTTCGTATATCCAAGTTTGCAAATAAAATCGAAGTAAATTTATTTGCTTTAAAATTAAAAAATGTCGTATACAAAAGTTATCTTGTTTGATACTTCATCAATATTAATCAATTAATAATATCGATTAATATTATCAATCAAAGTAACATGATAGTAAAATGTATTATCTAAATTTATGTTTTATTATCTGATGATTCGATTGAAGTAAATTTAAAAAATTTTTGCGATATGGTTTTAGCAGGTGTAGATATTTTTTGATGTCTCAGAGTCATCTACATTACATGTATGATTACATGTTACTGTATATTTTATGTCATTGAAAAACAATAAAATATAAAATAATAAAAGATAAAATAATATCATAACACAAGTGATTACTTTGCTTTTAATATAAAAATATTATAAAATATTATTATTTCATTACCACAATCCATAGAAATGATAGAAATAATCCAATTGTTTCCATTTGATCAGGGTTTGCACTTGGTTCACACATTTTATTCAGAAAACACACATTTTTTTTGATAGAATTTATTGTTAATCGGTGAAAAATTTAATTAATAAATTACGTATTATACGTATTTTTTATAAATATCATGTTAAAACTGTTTTATTCAACATTATTTTTTATTTAAACAAACTAAACCATAACCTAGACGCCATTTTGAAACTAATTGAACGGCGGCAAATTGCAAAATACTGGACGAATTTTGAAATCACAAATAACCTTTCTTTTATTTAATTTTCTAAAATAATTATTCAATAAACGTTTCCGTCTACTTGTATCATAAATTATATTTGTCAATATCAATAAGTTGATCATTTTATAAAAAAAATACTTAGTATTCTTACTTATCAGTAATCGATAAATATGATTTTATTCAACTTATTACATTTTTCAAACAACAATTAACTAATTGTAAATTTTTTACGAGTTTCATTACTTTTATAAATATTTAAATCGGTAACTAAAGTTCATGAAATTTATTTATATGAGAAATTTCGTTGTTTTTAATTTCGTAAAATTATAAAAAAATTTTGTTCAAAATTTAGCTTTTGAAATTCACCAATGGCTCTGCTTTCAAACATTTGAGGGATTTGATTCTTCCATCGCCATATTGGTTTGCATTGTCATTGGTACATGTATATGTATTGTGATTTGTAATTTAGTAAATGCATGTGAAGTTATAGAAATAGAGTCGCATAAAAAACTTCTCATATAAATTAAGAAAAATTCAATGTAAGTTAAAAGTTTATATCTACAAATTATTCAGTGTACTTTGTGCTTTCATGTAAATATTCAGTTAAGAGATTCACAATATTCACAACCTAACTGAGGGTAATTATGGTCATTTGTTTCAGAAACAATAAGATAATAAGGCTAACCAAAAAAGTATCAATATGTCTAGCGGTGCATTATTCAGCAATAATACCGTTCGCGGTGCCAATAAAAATATAGTGGAATTTAAAGCAGGCAAAATGACAATGAAAGGAAAGATGGTTTATCCTGATACAAGAAAGGGATTATTATATGTCTATCAGTCTGATGATTCACTCATGCATTTATGCTGGAAAGATCGTACATCCGGAGTCACTGAAGACGTAATTTTTTTTATTTGCAAATTTTTCTGTATTATTATTTAAATCATCAACTATCAATCGAAGCGTACTCCATTATACTAATTTCTTGATGTTCATTTTAGGATCTTATTATCTTTCCTGATGATTGTGAATTCAAGCATGTACCGGAATGTAAAACCGGCCGTGTTTATCTGCTCCGATTTAAAATATCTAGTAAAAAATTCTTTTTTTGGCTCCAAGTAGGTCTTCTTCTAACTGCAATGAATTATTACTAAAAAATGTTTATTAATGATATAAAAATGTCTTATTTAGGATATAAAAACAGAGAAAGATGAAGAATATTGTAAAAGAATAAATGAAGTGCTAAATAACCCACCAACACCTGGATCCCAAAGAAGTGGTGGACCTAATCCTGATGGAGATCTACAAAATCTTCTGAATAATATGTCACAACAGCAGTTGATGCAGCTTTTTGGGGGCGTTGGACAAATTGGTTTAGGAAGTTTATTAGGTACAATGAGAGAAAGACCTCAACATTCACGAAGTAGTACAACAACTGCACCATCAACGCCTGTAACAACAAGTGTCACAAGACCTCCAGCAGCTCAAACTCCAGCTCCTCCTGCAGTTACATCAGCTGAAGGAATAAGGTCATCTTCATCAGGGAATTCCAAAAATTCAGGATCAAAATCAGGATCTAACAATTCAATGAGCTTATCTGAAAGAAATCAACCCATGAATATTAATCCTGATCTTTTTGAATTTGAAAGACATCTTTGGAGTATGTCTACACCACTTGGTTCAGAGCCTGTTCATCAGGTAATATCATTTTTCAATTATTACAATTAATTTATATATTTATTTTATTCATTATCACCTCTTCACAATTTTATTCATCTATCATTATATATTTTATTTATTTGTATTAACAATACACCATGAGGAAACTTTTTACGTTTTTTAATTCAAATATTCTTCCTTGAATGAGTAATTTATTCAAACTTTGTAAAACAAATTTAAGAAAGTAAAAATTTTCCTGATGTTTTAAATTGAATTGTAAATACATACAAGTTAGAAACAGAGATAAAAATATTGATAGTGTTTATGGTAAACAAGAATAATATCTGGGATACGATCGAAATTAATATAACGATTGATGGAATTAAGTTAGATCTGAGTTGCCTCTGTACTAATGTACAGAATTGAGCAAATAGCCGGGTTCCAAATGGTTTTAGATAGTCTGGTTGTTATCAGTAAGCTACAATAGAGCTTATTGTCCGGCAGAGGGATATAGCGAGAGAACTGACGAATTCCATCCCAACGGCGATTGTACCAACGAAAAGCCTCCAGCAGGCTATGAGCAAGCACTTGCCACCCGGGGATAACCTGTGTATGACGCTGGCATCCCCCCAGTTCTACCAGGCACTATCAATGTTCTGGTCTGCTTTGCAGTCAGGCCAAGCGGGCCCAGTGGTTCGTCAATTTGGCTTGGGTCCAGACGCTGTCAATGCTGCTGCTACTGGAAATCTGGAAAGTTTTGTCACCGCCTTGGAATCCGAAACGAAAAAGGAAGCTGAAGATGGTCAATCATCAGCAGCTACTCCAAAAGCAGCGGAAGATGATGCCACCAAGAAAGAATCACCTAGTACTGCAGCCAAAGCCGAGGAGAAAAGTGATAAGGACGACGAGATGACATTGGATTAAAGTAACATGATGAATGAAACTATTTTTTTTTAATTTCTTTTGCCTCTTTTTTATTTTAATTTTCTTGTTTATCCAGTTGTTTTTTTTTAAATTATATACAAGTGATAATAATTATTACCATTGCTTACATATAAATATACAATCAATTTTCATAGAAAGTTACAATTTAAACGTTTTCACATCACTAATCGGTGTATGTCAATGATGAATAAAATCGAGATTAATAAGAAAAATCATCTTTATTATTATATTTTATTTACTTACTCTCATTTCTATCCTAATCCTACAAGTGACTTTACTTATTTCCTATGTTCTAGTTATCGTTCACTAAATAAAATAAATATGTAGTCCATTATTTTTAAGCTAAAGCTGAATATTTGAAATGTTTCATCAATATTTAAATTATTCAAACATAAAAAAAAATCATGTAGTATAGATGTCTAAAAAAATTGTGAACTTGAAACATCATGAATTGGTAACAAGTAACACAAAATACTCGTGACCTTGAACTAGACATGCGCACATTGATTATTACTTATGGCTAACACATGCATTCACTTTAGGTACGTGCACTGATTGATGTTTTCAACCTACCATGACCGATAGAATCAAAAAATTATCTACGATGTTATCATAAACATTAATTTTAATTATAGTCTATTTTCAATAATTTAACATTAGAATAAAATTCATGATGAATTTTATCAATGAACGATAAAAAAATAACAGGTGTTAAGAATGAATGCAATGTTTATTTTGCTGATAACGCAGGCGTACATGGAAAAATTTAAAAAGAATGGCGGAAAAATTTAGACCAATTGCGTAGATTTGTTTACGACGCACAAACATCCGATTGGCCAAATCTGGTAATCGATGTACATACATCTATATATACTGATACAAACTCAAATATGTAGAAACTCCATTATTATCGCTCTTATCACTATGTAAAATAATTATTTTTATAATAAAAACTAACAATGATCAATTGATATCGTTAACATTTTAAATATCAAGCATATCCTTTTTCAAAGATCTCTAAATACTTTAAGTATCAAGAAATCAGACATAAAATTATTTTTCTTTGTTCACTAGGATTTTTTTTTGAATATGACAAAAGAACATGTATGAAATAAAAGGTTATGAAGACATTGATGTTGAAAGAAATTGTGCTGGACATTTGAAAAAAGTTAAAAATTTTTTTTAAAAGTGTCAAATAAGAAAACAAATAAAAGCAACAACAATAACAACAAACTAGTCCAAGTCAGTGCCCTTGAAGGACACGTCATTGTGAGTTGACGCGTGCGCATTTCCGAATGAATCGAACAAGTAGTGGGGGACTCCCTCGCGAGTAGTGACCGATGAATCCTCCGCAAATTCCGCTAAAAATTATTACGGCGTATACGTGAGTTAGTTTCGTGTGTTATTTATTTACCAACTGAATTTTAACCTTATAACCATCATTAATCGACACTTAAGTCATTTTATTAATAAATACTATTAATTAATGTAATTAACAGATGATAGTATTATCCTGAAACAAATAACGTCTGTTCAATTGGTGTATCATTTTATTTTTGTTATTGTTGATATCCGTACATTTTGGTTTAATCTACATACATATTTCCGGCTACAATAAACAACATAATATTGTTTAATCCTTAAAATGTGTATTCCTGGTTAATATGATGAAAACAAGTGATTGATACAAAGAACAGCAAAGAGAGAAACGTGTGTTAAATCAGGCGCGCGTATTACATATTATCCGATGTAGTATGTATGCTATACTTATATATGTGTGTATAATGTACCTCTTTTCCTCTTAGGCTTTTACCTCTGTTCTTCTCTGTCACTCTGTATTTAAAATGGCAACCTTGACACTTGATTATTACTTTTTACTTTTCTAATTTTTTTTTATCTTGTCGTTTAGGCCAATTACATGCACAAAAAACTGCTCATTTTAAAACTAATCCGTTGATATTCTGTCTAAAATCTATTATTCGAGATTTAAACCATGACTATCAATAATTCATTTGGATCGCAGTGCAATTCTGATAATTCATTTTCAAGATTTAATAGTACATTTAATTCTGAACTCAATGGTATTTAAATTTATATCGGAAGATTCATCGTTTCCTGTTACGGTAAATCTTAGATAATTAATACATTAATTGTTCACAATTTAATATTATTATTTTTATTTATTTATTTATTTATTTATTTATTTATTTATTTACTTGAATAATTATCGTTAAAATATATTAATAAAAAAATAGAATTGATGGTGAAAAGTTGATCCATATTGTGCAAAACCAATATTTTCGTTGAATATATATAGTATTGTTTGAAATAGCCAATAGTAAAATATTGGTGTGTCGTATTTAAGATATACTATGGGAGATGCAGGTTCATATTTTACATTTTAAGTAGTATACCCACAGTCTCCGTGAGTAGTTGTCTTGAAACTTTCGCACCGCCAAAACCTCTCCGCTCTCTTCACCGATCTGTTTAGTTAGTATTACAACCATTTAAAAGTGTTCGTTTAAACTTTTTATTTATTAAATTAAATTCTCATCTGTGTTTAATTATTTAACTGATTTCTTTAAAATATTTCCCTAATTATTTATTCCCAGAAAAGTGGTTATTATACACAAAATATATAGAGAATATTATTAGCAACTAAAATTGTCATACATTTTTTTTCTAAACATAATAATAATATTGTATTTTATCCTTTATCATTACAGAACAGTGATTGTAAGGAAGTTTGAGGTGATAAACATTGAAGAAATTTGATATATAACAGTTAAATCATGTAATATAGATTAAATATTATACATGCGCTGATTAAATAATCTTTTAAAAATTTATATAAAACAAATTTGTAAGATAAACTTACAAATTATTGTTCAATAAATATCTGAAATAATTCCAAAAGAGGCATCAATTTTTGGGTAAGTGTTTTTTTGTATTGTTTTATTATTAAATATTATTAATTTCATAATAATAAGTGAATATTCATGCTCCAAATATTTTAAAATCTTCTTTAATATGAACGTACAACAGATTTAAAACTTTTGCGGCAATGGTCTGTGCAACAAGTTGACATAAGTGGTGCTACAAATTTATACTATCGTACATAATTTTGGTGTTTATTTTTTACATACATGTATCACCTTATTTATAATTCCTATATATCATTCAATGAGAAGATCTCTTATAGTGTGACACCCAGTATATATGAAAAAAGTTGTAACTAACGAGACAAAGATATTGAAGAAGGGGAATGCGAAAAAGAGGTAGAGAGAGGAACAAGCAATCACTCTTTGTGTGTACTATAGTATATATGTGTAAGAGACAGAAAGAGAAGAGAATATTACAAGAGAAAGAAAGAGAGATAGAGAGGGAAGAGAGAATCGTTTAACCAAGACAAAGAAGAAAGTTAGATTTAAATTTTAAATATGAAATATATTATTTGATTGATCTTATAATTTTTTAATTTGAAATATTTATAATTGATTTTCAAGTTTGCTGCTTCAATTTTCTCAAATTTTCAGCTTATATATTCATAAACTATAGCGCTTTTAACTTTCTTTCTTCCCTCGCCTGTAAACCTGCCCAACAGGATGAAAACAATAAAGAACTTGAAAAAAAATAAAACACAGTAGCATGTGTTTAAACTTTCAAAATTTTAGTTCTTTTAGGAGATTTTATCTTTTACGATTTTTAGTTTTGATTTTGTGCACGCAATGTTTTTAAATTAAACAGTAAAAATTGATATACATTCATTAAATTTCAAATGGCTTGGGAAAGAAATTAAAAATACAATCATTCTTTTTTTTTAAGTTTTCATTTATTAAACAGTATTAAAACATCAATAGGTTGATATTCGGATAAGTTTTTGTATTTATAGTATTTGTAATATATCATTATATTACATAATTTAATGTTATTTGAATATTGAATTTTTTTAAAATAAAATAGATAAGTATTATCTATGAAAAAAAAATCAAAAATTTTTGTTTATTCAACTGGCCGTATTGTTATGAATTTCGATAGAATAAATGCCATAACTATTGTGCTAGCTACAAAGCAAGCAACAAAAATATACCAGCTTTCTTCATCAAAAACATCCGTAAAAGCCGGAAGTTGATTGTACAAAGTGTCAATTAATTGCATATTATAATCCTTATTTCTTCCCATTTTAATCACTTATTTAAATTAATTTTCTAACTTTCGTGAGACAAATCCAAAATATCAAATAACAAATAAATTTTTATCGAAATTTTATTTGAAAAGTTTATCTTCTGCTTGGAATAGGTCTCCTCTTCCTCTTTTTTTTCTTGAGTTTGACAATTCCTCCTGTAGTCTCAGGAACTTCTGGAGGTGCCAGAGAAGATATATGTTTATTGTAGAGTTTTAAAATATCCACAACGTCTAAATTGTTGCACTTGAACAAAACTTTTTCTCCATTAACTAAAATAAAGAACTATGCTTAATGACTTTCAAATGGTTAGTTTAATACCTGACTAAGCCAGGTATAAAGAATTTACTTACTTAAATCACACGTAACCGTAGGTTCGGAGCGGTCACAAACGACATTTGCTTTCAAATAACAGGATAAATTTGTCCTTAAGATCCTTGGTGCTGAAATATAGTGTAAGAAATTCCTGAAAAATCATAAAATGATTTAAGTTATTTATTGTAGGTATAAGAATGGCTCAACTCGAACAACAATTGCCTATCCAAATGCCGGATTTAAGTACACTCCGTATTACAACAGCCGTAACAATGTTTGGAAAAGCTTATGAATGTGGGAGATGCAGTGGTAAGTAACTGATTAAAAATATGCATAGTAACTACAAACAAATGATGAAAAGAAGTTACTACATATTTAAAATCACTGATTTTAAATATGTAGTAACATTTTAGAAATTTATATTTAATTACTCCACAAACTTATTGAATTTAATGTTGATTGTGAATTGAAATTTTCTTACCAAAGTCAATCAAATAATAGTACAATTGTGAAGTGAAATTGATTCCAATATTTATCAAAAGTTTGAAAAAAAACTATTCCATAAATGATAGTTTTTATTGTTTTAATACTCTCAGTTGTGAAGGTAAATTTAGAATGAAGTACGTTCAATTCTATACAACAATTTACGGAAAAGATAGTACGCATGCGCATGTTATCGACTTTTATTTATAGTTATTTATCCCTCAGTCCTTTCCCCTTAACGATTATCCCTTGTCAAGGGAGGGTGATATTAGTTAAAGATAATATTTTAATTTTTATGATTTATCATGTTTTAGAAATTATTCATGCTAGAAAATAATGAATTTATTTAAAGCCTGAAGTGTACTTGAATATTATTATGTTAAATTAAAATTTAAAAGAAAACTTGGCTAACCTTGTATGATCAACCTTTTCATGAAAAGGATCAAATTGAACAGTTATTTGCTTTACAGGTTTAAAAGTAAATGTTTTTAGTTGAGCAATAACTGCATTTAAAATTGTTCCACGCCAAAGACGTCCGCTGAATTTTATTGACATTTTTTGGCGTTTCTTTTGTACAGATATTACACAATGTTGTCGTATACAAACATTTATTACAGTTAAATTTTATATTTTAGCTTTAACTTATGTCTTCATGTAATTAAATTCACAAAGAATACTTTTTAAATTTGTTAGCAAATAATCTCAATAAATAGAATCATTTTTTGCAAACAGTCGAATGAAGTTAGCTCAAAACTTCACATTGTGCAATATCAAAGCTACCAACTTTCAAGCAATAACAATTATGCTGACGGCAGATGTGTGGTTGATTCTGCTACCACTCATATACACAATCAACATTCATACCAATAAACTTAGCTGAAAATAAATATAAAAAATTGTAAAAATTTTTCATGAGTACAATTTGGAGTAAATATAAATAAAAAAATGTTTTGAAGCAATTAAAAGTTTATTTGAATCACAACACACACTGCCTATACACATTATGCAGTGTTCACACGATGTAGATAGATGATGGCGTGTATAGTTTACTCCTTATTTGATTGGTTACGTTTACTCGAACTTTATGGTCCTCGCCAATGAGAAGTAAACTAGTGACGCCATTGTAGTAGTCAGCTCGTTCTCTTGAGTCTTGTTCGCAGTGTGTGTTGTGGGCAAGTGGTGTTGTGCGACCAAGTGGGATTTTAAGTTAAAGTTTTTACTTATTTATTAGTGATAAATCCATAATTGTTTGATTTAAATATTCAAAATGTATCCAGTAGGCCAACGTAAGTATAAATAGAATGAAAAAACATTGAAATAATGAAATATAAGATTAGGGAAAAAAACAATAGCAGAAGGGGAAGTGTGTTCGGACAGTTGTCTAGTCGAGCCTAGAATTTCGTTTCAACGATTTTCAAGCCCTTTGTTCATTATGAGCATATTATTATTCTATCATTGGTATATTATTTAATTGTTTAATTTTTTTTTTCTATTTTATCAACAATATTGATATTATTATCAAAACTTCCTATGTATAAGCGTACACTTAATAATTACCGCAATGAATTAATGAATGTTGGCAATTCATATAAATATATGTTTAATCGCGGGATTATTGAAATTTTCATTAAATGACCCTTTATGAACTCAAAAGACTGAGTCTATTGATATTAATATCATTGTTGAGTTATAAGCTTTCACTGGAAACCAATTATTAATTGACAAACAATCTTCTTACTTCATTAAATACAAGAGTTATTTTTATATTTTTTTCCCCAATTTCTTACTCAGCCGTCTATGTATATCTATATGTAATCAACTCTTACAATCACTTTCGTGTCTGTTTGTTAATTGACATAACTGTTTCCCAATAATATTTATTAGATATCATACATTTAGAATTTGTTGTTTTTATTGTAAAATAATTAATAATATTTATGATTTAGCACCCCCGCCTGGACCCACGACGAGCACAGCAGTAGGAGCCGCAGGAGCTGCAGGTAGTAGTGCAGTGTCTTCCAGCTCCTTGGGACTTGTTCCCTCACAACAGACACACACACCACCTCAACCTACAGAACTGCCAGGTTAATAATTGAATTTACCAATTGTTATATACCAGGTTAATGAAATTACCATGATTATAATGTACTTGTTTTTTGTTTTCAGTATTTTCATGTCCACGTCGACCAAATATAGGACGTGAAGGACGGACTATCGGTTTAAAAGCTAATCACTTTCAAATTAGTATGCCAAGAGGCTTTGTTCATCATTATGATATTAACATACAACCAGATAAATGTCCTCGAAAAGTTAATCGAGAAATCATTGAAACAATGGTTCACGCTTACAGTAAAATATTTGGTACATTGAAACCTGTATTTGATGGACGAAATAATTTGTACACAAGAGATCCATTACCGATTGGTAATGATAAGCTAGAATTAGAAGTTATTCTACCTGGTGAAGGTAAAGACAGGGTTTTTCGTGTGGCAATTAAATGGGTAGCACAAGTTTCTCTATATGCTCTTGAAGAAGCTTTGGAAGGTCGAACACGACAAATTCCTTATGACGCTATCCTTGCACTTGATGTTGTTATGAGGCATTTACCATCAATGACGTATACACCCGTTGGCAGATCATTCTTTAGCAGTCCAGATGGTTATTATCATCCTTTAGGTGGTGGTAGAGAAGTCTGGTTTGGTTTTCATCAATCAGTTCGACCATCTCAATGGAAAATGATGCTCAACATTGATGTATCAGCAACGGCATTTTATAAAGCACAACCCGTCATTGAGTTTATGTGCGAGGTATTGGATATTCGAGATGTTAATGAACAGAGGAAGCCTCTTACTGACTCGCAAAGGGTGAAATTTACCAAAGAGATAAAAGGGTTGAAGATAGAGATTACTCATTGTGGTACTATGCGACGAAAATACAGAGTTTGTAATGTCACACGTAAACCTGCCCAAATGCAATCATTCCCGCTTCAACTTGAAAATGGACAAACTGTTGAGTGCACAGTTGCTAAATATTTCTTGGATAAATATAAGATGAAACTGAGATATCCTCATTTGCCATGTCTTCAAGTTGGTCAAGAACATAAGCATACTTATTTACCACTCGAGGTATTCATCAATATTTATAAACATTTTGATTTATTTTTTTTTAAACTGTAGATAACTAATGATTACATTGTTACTTTTTTTTAAGGTATGTAATATTGTAGCGGGTCAGCGTTGTATAAAAAAACTCACTGATATGCAAACTTCAACGATGATTAAAGCAACAGCGCGTTCAGCACCAGACAGAGAACGTGAAATAAATAACTTAGTTCGTCGAGCGGATTTCAATAATGACTCGTATGTTCAGGAGTTTGGTTTGTCTATTTCCAACAACATGGTGGAGGTTCGCGGTCGCGTGTTGCCACCGCCCAAGCTTCAGTACGGTGGGCGCGTAAGTTCCCTCAGTGGACAGGTGAGAGACTTCCGTGAGCGCGAGACGTTCATAAGGATGAACCGTCAATAAATGTCCAATAATATATTCATTGTTAGAAATATTTGATAACGGTTCTACCTTAAGAATAGTGCTTCTGGTAAATTATGATTATTGTTTATTTATGGTGACAACTAAAAGTCTCGCAATTCAAAAATAAAGAATGGAGATTGATTTCAGTTTAATCCTCCCTTTTATTTTATTTATAATTACTTAACTATTTGTAAAAACTATGATTATTAAAATTAATGTTTTTATTTTTTAGACAAAACAACAAGCTTTACCCAATGCCGGAGTATGGGATATGCGAGGCAAACAATTTTATACTGGCGTTGAGATAAGAGTGTGGGCAATAGCCTGTTTTGCTCCTCAACGAACAGTTAGAGAAGATGCTCTAAGAACTTTTACTTCACAACTCCAAAAAATCAGTAACGATGCTGGTATGCCTATAATTGGACAACCATGTTTTTGCAAGTATGCCACTGGTCCAGATCAAGTTGAGCCCATGTTTCGTTATTTGAAAACTACTTTCCAAGCTTTACAACTCGTCTGCGTTATATTACCTGGAAAAACTCCAGTTTATGGTACGATTTCGTAAATTATTTACTTATTCTTTACTTTATTATTTTAATAAAATATTTTATTATAATTTTAAATTGATTATTTACAGCTGAAGTTAAAAGAGTTGGAGATACTCTATTGGGAATGGCAACTCAATGTGTTCAAGCTAAGAATGTTAACAAAACTTCACCTCAAACGTTATCGAATTTGTGCTTAAAAATTAATGTTAAACTTGGTGGCATAAATAGTATTCTTGTACCTAGTATTAGACCAAAAGTCTTTAACGAACCAGTCATATTTCTGGGTGCAGATGTAACTCACCCACCAGCTGGTGATAATAAAAAGCCAAGTATAGCTGCAGTTGTAGGAAGTGTCGATGCTCATCCTTCGCGTTATGCTGCAACTGTACGAGTTCAACAGCATAGACAAGAAATTATTCAAGAACTCAGTTCAATGGTCAGAGAACTTTTGATTATGTTTTATAAAAGCACAGGTGGTTATAAACCACACAGAATAATTCTTTATCGTGATGGTGTATCAGAAGGACAATTTCTTCATGTACTTCAGCATGAGCTTATAGCTATTCGTGAAGCGTGTTTAAAACTTGAAGCTGATTATAGACCTGGCATTACGTTCATAGTTGTACAAAAAAGACATCACACACGACTATTTTGTGCTGATAAAAAAGAGCAAAGTGGTAAAAGTGGAAATATACCAGCAGGAACAACGGTTGATGTTAGTATTGTTCATCCGACTGAATTTGACTTTTATTTATGTAGTCATCAAGGAATTCAGGGTACATCTCGTCCATCTCATTATCATGTTTTATGGGATGATAACCACTTTGAAAGTGATGAATTACAGTGTTTAACTTATCAGCTATGTCATACATACGTTAGATGTACAAGATCAGTCAGTATACCAGCTCCAGCTTACTATGCTCATTTAGTAGCATTTCGAGCAAGATATCATCTTGTTGAAAAAGAACATGACAGGTAATTGAGATTTTTCAATAGTATATTCAACTCAAACAACATTTAAAAAAAATCATTAAAAGTCATTATGATCTTTTATACACTTACTAAAAATTTTTCATGATGAGATAATCTTTATAAACATGAAATATAATTTTTAATGAAAGGATTGATTAATCATAATTTTATAAAATTCAACAATAAAGAGTGATTTTATATTTTTAGTCAAATATAAAAAATCATAATGACTTTTATTGATTTCTTTTAAATATTCTAATAGACGATGGCCTCTGACAGTTTTTTAAAAATTTATTACAGTTTTGTGGTTATTTCTGATTGCAGTGGTGAAGGTTCCCATCAATCTGGTTGTAGTGAAGATAGAACACCAGGTGCAATGGCACGTGCTATCACCGTTCATGCTGATACTAAGAGAGTAATGTATTTCGCGTAATTCCCTACCTTCCTTCCTTCCTTCATTTTATTATTATCGTTATTATTATTATTATTATTTTACTTAATTATTTTATTTACATCTTATTTGGTAAGAAACACTAATAACTCGATTTATTATGTAAACAAAGATTCATTACAAATCAACAAACCATATCAAGCAAGTTTCTCCAAACTTTATTGGAGACAATTAATTTCAGTTAATATTTATAGATGATTTTCAGCTACAATTTTTATTGGATTTATTTTTTTTAATTATTATTGATCAATTCGATAAATCAAACATTAAATAATAATAATAATACCAATATTAGTAACAGCAATAGTAATAATCCGCCACATATGTAGTCAAAAATAATTAATAATAATAATGATAATAATTTTAATAATAATAGTAATTACGATAACGCTTTCAAAAATGATTATGTTTATAAAAAATATTTTAAGAAGTGAAGTTATTCTTGGAAAATTATGGTCTAATTAAAGATGATTCATGATTAATTATTCTTCTGCAAGTTTGAATCTTCTACATTACTCATCGCAGATGATGAGACTTTTCTATTGATCGATGAGTAATAAATATATGCAATTTTAAAATAGGTGTATTATCATTTCATTATCATGAGAATATTGCTCTGACCACATTTGAATTAGTTTATCGATTTATTTATTATTGTGATATTTTTATCGTAATAATAATGATTAGCTCATATTAAACATTGCTATTATTATTATCATTAATAATAATTATCATTATTGATTATTAATTACTGTTTATTTGGTTAATTTAATATAAATTTTTTTTAATTCAAATCAACTTTAAGAGTAAATAAGTAACCTCTCTATGCCATTGTTGTTATGTAAGATCAAAAAAAAAAAAAACTTTAAGTGTGAGAAATGTCGTGCCACACAATATGTATTTGTCAATCCTGATCTAATGTCAGATAAAGAATTCAAATTGGGCTTTAATGAGAAGTGAAAAAAAAACGATTACGCTTAGTTAAAGATTATAATAAGAATTAATTAAATAATTTATAAAAAAAAAAATAATAAACCTGACGCTTATCTACAATAATTACAAATGACACCATATTAAGCTTATTGCGTGACTTTATTTTTAAAAATTAAAATTTTATTTAGCATCATAACTCTTGAAAATTATGAATAGAAAATTTCTATGGAATAATAAAAAAATGGATTACATGTAATATAAGATCGTTTTTAAGTGAATATATAAAGATATGTAATATTTCCAAGATGAATCGATAAACATATGGTATGGCATTAGGTGTGGGTCGACGTCTCTTTAATAATTGCCCTATCAATGCACTATACATAAATAATGCAAGTTGAATAAAACGTTGCAATTATTATTAATAGTGATAATTATGATGAATTTAGATTCCAAAGTGGAAAAATTGAAAGATAATGTTAAAAAATCCAACATAACTATGTTAATGTATCATTGAGTATAATTACGGAATAATTTTTTTGAATATTATGCGATTAGATTTATTTGTAATAATTCTTTAGATATTTGAGAACTGTCAATTTATCAATTTTTTTCAACATGTCTATGTAATATTAAATTTCAATCAATAAATATATCAACACATTGTGTTAATACATACATAATAAATTTCTACATTTTTGTATAGCATCGATAATCATTAGTTTTTCGTTGATATTTTTTTGGAACTTTCAATGTATTGTCATAACTTAACCAAGTGAATAATTCAAAAGGTATATCAGTGACAATTTGCTTACACATATTTTCTATGTATTCAGTATTACATAAAAAAAATGAATACTATGTGGAATCATGCACTGATATTTCAATGATTAATTTTTAAGAAGTGAAGTAACTAATTAATAATAATGTTAATCATGGAGTTATTATATATTGAAAGTATCTTACTTAATAAATCCTAGGTGATAGAGTGATGATAATGATCGTGATGTTCATTTTAGTTAATGAATAAGTGTGAATTCGATAAAACGAATTTTCGATATCTCTACTATCTATCATTAATATTAGAATAATTCTTTATAATATTTTTTTAAATAAACCTTATATTTATAGGCATATATAAGGTGCATATAAAACAAAAAGAATCCTTATCAATATCATTATTTTTATTTAATATTAATTAACTCTCAATTATTTTTATCATTATTATTATCATTATCATCATTGTTATTGTCGTAGTTAAATGAAATTTTATAAAAACACTTCAATTGTAATTAAATGCTGCATGAATTAAATCAGAAAATGCTCTAAATACAACAAATCAATCAATATTGCAGTTAGATACATAAATACTAGCAAGTTGTATGAAGTGAGTGAGTTTATTTATAATTCATAAACTTATATTGTTTATATATAGGATTCAAATGTTTCATCTAGAAAAATGGCATGCAGCTATGCAAAAAAAAAGATTTTAAATCATTTAATAAAATAAGAAATATAATAAAAAAAAATATCACACAAAAACTTTAACTGAAAAAATAACATCTTTTGTGCATTGTGTTATTTTTAGATCTATTGCAATGTACTAGTCAATCACTGACAAAAAAAAACAACTATGTAAAATCAACTTTACATCGTAAAATTGTTCGAAATCATTGATAATAAGTTTTAGTGATAGTAAAAAAAAAATTTACTGTACATATTTAATATTAGTTTATTATCTAAACATTTTGTTTTAATATCATTATTAATGCCCTTTTACTGATAAGTCTTTTTTAGAATTAAGAAAACTGTATATCGATAATAAATCATTATTTTATTTTATTTTATTTTACGCTAATAAATTAAAGTTTGAATCGTATACATATAGATGATCTTCTATAAATAGATATATTATATAAATATTGTATATCAATATTTTTTCGATATTATTTAAATTGAAAGTAAATTGCCTCTTGATTTTAATTTAATAAAAATTACTTTTGGATATTAGCTGTATAATTCAAGACGGGTTTAAACTGATTATATCATATAAAATATTATCAATAGTAATAGGTAATTTTTATTTTGGTGTAAACCAAATCTACTACTGTAAAATTATGAAAAAAATAAAAGTAATTGCATTGGTCATTAATTAATATAATTATCGCCAATAATTTTAAAGGATAACAACTAGTAAATTGCATTCGTTATTCAATATACTAGAAAAACTGCTTCATGAGAGTAGTTACAACTTTTGTATGTCACTACTCAACTGGCCAATGTTACATCATTATGGATGCACAAAAAATGCAGTGAATAATAAAAAGAATTCAATTATTTATATAACAGTAGCAATTAAAAGTAATTATGGCGTGTTTATGTTTTACTTAAATTATTCCAACGTCAAACAAAGAAGTATAAATAAGGATTGTGCAAAATGTTTACAAAAAAAAAATTACATTCTGTATTGTTTATTGCAATAAGTCTTTATATTGACCATCTTGATCGATTATTCGTCAATGACTGACAATAACAATTGAGTAGCTGTCTAGAATTATAATGAATGAAAACTTCATTCAATAAACAGTCCAATGATACTCTAACAATTATTATTAAATGAGATTCTGAAAGATAATTTACGAATACAAAACGAACTATCAGGTTTTTTTTATAAATGTTTGGAGAAATATTGAAATTTATTTATATAAATTTGTTTAATTTCGAATATTGCACATTGTTTAATGTAATCAAATAAGCGTAATGGATTATACAAACAAGTGAAGTAGAATTATAAGAACGAGGATAACATAATAATAAAATAACAACTTCGATACAAAAATTCGATTCTTCTTTCGATTCTTTCACCTGTCCCAGTGAACACATAAAATGTGAGTTACTAATGTTACTTATAATTTTCCATCCATAAACATAACAATGTGACGTAACATTGTTATACTCTTGGTACGTTTCAGAAAAATATAACTGTGATGCTACTTATAGATAAAAATAAGCTCTGTGAACTTGGAACCCGAACTGAAAATCGATACGCGTACTACAAACAACGCAGGTGATTGTAATAACCTTTATCTGTTTGAAGTCCCAAAAAATCTTCTGAAAATCATTAAAAGTTGTAATTTTTCATGAAAATTGATGATTTTCGAAAAATCGTGATTACCAATGCATTCAGCATCATGTATACAGTCAACTAGAACCAGAGTCGTCATCGGATAAGGATGACAATGATTCACGTAGCATTCAAATTAATAATAGACCTTTGTCAACAAACGATGATAAAATTGTTGAGAAGAACTCTGCATCTGCAAATGTTTTTGAAGACGATAATAACAACATTAGTAATTTGAATATTAACAGTAAACTACCTCTCCTGATAAATGGATCTGAACTTCCTCCAGTCAAAATAAAGATCTGTGAAAATAAGTATTCTTATATTAAGGTAATTAATACATGCAGTTTTGATGCAACTTTTGAAAAAAAAAATCTGTAATAAAAATTTTCCAGTGTTATAATCATCTCCAAACGATGCTGAATACATTGGTCATCACGATTTTTCAAAAATCATCAATTTTCATGAAAAATTACAACTTTTAATGATTTTCAGAAGATTTTTCGGGACTACAAATAAAGCAAGGCTACCCGGGAAAAATAAAATAGATCTACACAGATCTAAATTTTCGCCATTTTTTAGATCTAATTTGATCTACTTATATCTAAAAAACTGAAGAAAATTTGATCTAAGTAAATCTATGTATATCTAGTGAGATCACTGTATATCTACACAAATTACTGTATGACTATAGAGATCTCCATTGATCTTGATGATAAGAAAAATTTAATACATCTACAGAGATCACAGAAGATCTAAAGTGATCGAAACAGATGTACACAGAACAAAGTAAATCTAATTGTGCCAAAAAATAGATCTCAGTTGATTAATGTAGATATATTTTATTTTTTCCCGGGTATATAATTAAACTACGTGTTTATTACCCTCGCCTTCGGTTCGGGTTGTAATTTTATACGTGGTTTAAGCTAGTCTACTTTTCCTCCCCTTGGTGTGAAATGTCCTATTACTCAATACATAAGCTTTTTTTCAAACCAAAGAAACTTTAGTACGTAACGTAAGGAAAATTTACTGGGGAGCCCAGTAAAAATTCACTCGGCAACCCATTAAAATTTTTTGGGTCAGAAAATTTTTTTTGGTCTAAGACTTTTTACTGGGTTACCAAGTAAATTTCTTTAGATTTGCGCATATGGTCCCGCATAACTGTGCGACCCCCGTAAAATTTTACGGATCTTTTTCTCCGTGTATCAACGAACAAGATAAAACCTATACATATCAGTCCTCAGACTAAAATAACAAAAAATTTTTTATTGAACAAAAAAAAGAGGGCAAGCCCTAAATATTCTTCATTACTTTCACAAAGTTCTAAAGCTTCCGTTGTTTTTAGCTGGTATTTCCCGGAATACAGTACAGGCCTGTGCAGTGCCTTCGGCCTAATTGTTTGAAAAATTCCATCTCTTAAATTCACGAATTGTTTTTTTATCATCTCCTCCATTTTGTTAAATTTTCCATCTATATGGGGCACGATTATTTTTACTCTTGAAAATTAAATTTGTGAAAACTACTGCGAATCAGTGAATATTCACTGATTGCCAGTGCCAATACAATGACTGATTCTTTGAGTGATTGGATTGGCACTGGATATCAGTGAATATTTACTGATTCGCAGTAGTTTTCACTGATTCAGTTTAAGAGCATAATAAATCTGTTTTTAATTTATTTACGTCAAACGAACCATTTTCAACAGGAGTTAATGATTTGCTGCGCTCACTGTCACAAGCAACAAAAGGTAAGTTTAACCTCACTTTTCCAATACAATGCTTGTTACTACCGGCATCGTAGAAGAAATTATACTTGAACGCTATTTATCTAAAAGATTGGACGAGCTTTAGTGATCAACGTAATCAGAATTAATATACTTATTATTATTATAATTTTCGTTTAAAATATTGATCGCTTCAGAAATGCTAGGAGGTGCGGCATCTAAATTTAGCAGATTGGTAGCGGATGTCTTAGGGGTGATGCTACCACCAGGTGAATCTTCATTATCCCCTGAATCATATTCTTGATATCAACGAGATTGTAGTTTATTTTTCTTCGACGGCGTTTGATTTCGTCATCTGATGATGTGGTGCAATACTAATCGGGGTGAACTACAGAACAGCTGAGTCGATTGTAACCGCGAAATCGTTTCGACTCGTGGTGAGACTGGAAAAAAGAATTTAAAGAAAATTAAATTTTATTTTTCCGTATATACAATAATGTAGATATTGATAATTTCAGATATAAAAAAAACATTGTGACACTCAGAGTCCAAAATAATAAGTAATCTCCCCGTATGAATCTAAGAAAATTATTAATTTCTATAAAATACATTGAAAAAGTTATAGAAAACATAATTTCAATTGGTATGATATTCAATGCATAAAACATATTTAAATTTATGAAAAAGGAAAACGAATATATGGAAATAGGAATATCGGTTTTTCGCATTTTAATTTTATGATATGAAAAGATAGAACAACTATTGCGTGTATATATTTTAAAATTATAACAATTAAAGTAATAAACCCCATCATTACTTCAATGATTATCGAAAAAGAACTTCAATATATTAGAGTTAACTCAGTAAATACTGTTATATTGTAGTTATATATCCTTGACATAGTTTTTGTTACATATTTTATTACAGTTATGTACCATATAAGTAACATAGATGTTACTATTTCCGCCTTGATTATATAACATTGTTTTATAACTTTGTTATATTACAGTAATATTACGGTTACATAACATTTTATCAACATTGATATTGTTTAAATTGAAAAAAAAATTGTCAGCAATGTATTTTCATTGGATTTCATTGCTTCTGTTTACTATTCTATTATTTTTTAAGTGTAATTTGATTTCTTTAGTGAAATGAATTTTTCCTATTTGGGGGGATTCGAACCTACGACCGCCCGCTCGCACGCAACTTAAACCTACGTTTTTACCCACTAGGCTATTCTGATACTTCATTCCCAAATTGAAAATAGGCCCATATAAACACATATTTTAGTTACATGTATAAATATATAGAAAAATGAGAATAATTGCGTGAATTATAGTTCATTTTAGTTATTATGTAATAATTATTATATATAATGTCTTCTTTTTATTTTTAATTGAGATTGATTCATTTTTGAGATTACAAAACATTTTGTTAATGTCTTAGGTTAAACAAATTGATAAAAAAATACTTATTTTCTGAGTATTAAATACACATAGCCAATAATAAAGTGAACGAGAAATTCTCTGACAATTTAGGTACACAAATAGTTCTTGAACTGTAAAATATCCTTATAGCTTAGGAACAATTACCCTGCAGATCATGATCTGCTATCAATCTCAGTTTATCTACACATTGAAAAGAAAAGCAACTATAACCAGAATTTTGTAATGTTACATCTGTAGAATATGCCGTCAATACAAAGAACGTATGTAACATCGATGTGGCGATGTTACATTACAAGAACATTGCGCGTATGCAACAAATGTTACCTAAAATTAGTAAAAATATGTTATGTAACATTTAAATAACAGTTGTAATGTAACTTAGAGATTACAGTGTTATATCATAGAAACATAACATTAAATAACAAAAAATATATACTACTAGTATAACAGTGTTATATAACATGGATACAACATGCATGTAACGCTAATTATATTGCCATTAGATAACTACGTTATATAGCTACAACGTCACATGGGTGTGACATCTGCAATATAAACTTGCTACTTTGACAATATATTACAGTTATACAACATATATGTAACTTTTCGTTATATAACTTGTTACATATTGTTACCTTTGTGTTATATTGCTGTTATATTCAGTGTTTACTGGGAAGATATCGGCTCTTCGTAGTATAATTCAACAGAATAACTAAATACAAGAACCGTTGCAAATATATATTTTAAAATTATGACACTCAAAGTTATTAATCCTATCATTATTTCCACATATATCAAAAAATAATTCTAATATGTTGGAATTGGGATATCTCTCCAGTAGTCTGGGTGCGACCCAAAAGGTCCACCCTACTAACTTCCTAGTAGAAAATGATAAAATTTAGCTAGTTTTCCATTTCTTCCAGTTTTTTGATGCTAAATAAAACATGGCTAGACCGATTTAGCTTAAAACCTAATCAGCTCTAAGTTGCGTATTTATGTGTCGAATACAATTGGTTCCGTATCAATATCATTTTTTATTCTCCAAATAACTAAGGCTGTATATAATTACGAACGCACATACGTACTTCCGAACCTACAAACATACCCTGGTTAAACATTCCGATAAAATCTTATAAAAAAAAAAATTTCATAAGAATTAATCGGTAAATTGCGTCAGAAACATCACACTTTTCATAAGCATTTACAGGAAAGAATAACGTAGGAAAGATTCCTATGTACCCTAGTATCCTAGATTCCTATTAGCTCTTTTATATTACAGACAGATGCTCTACTTTTGTTTTTATTGATAGATTATGGAAGAATGGAAAAAAAATCTACAAGAATTATTCTTTAATTTGTATAAAGACATGGTAATACTGTGTGAGACAAAAATTTATATTTTACGCCCAGAACATATCTGCATTTTCTATTTAAATACAAATAAGGCCTCATACTATAATAGTTCTATAACAAACACGTTTTCATTCTTCCGAGTATTAGAGAAAACACCTTCACAGCTGAACTAAATTTAAGTAATAGATATAATGAAGACAAAATACTCAAGAAACTATCAAAACATGTTTATTGTGAAACTTTTATTGAGTTATGCTTTATCTGTCCTTGGACATTTCGTGATCATTAAAAACTGTCTTAAATACTAATATGACTACCATAATGATACTTCGACTATTATTGTAACGATAATTATTTAAAGAAATATATAATATACAAAAAACCATAAAAGGGGATGATGAATTTTTCGAGAGGCAATATCTTCACAATAAGTAACTGCACTACGATAAGCTGAAAAACAATGGAGAAAAGGTTACTTGGCAATAGATTTTAAGCATAACTTAAGTTAGAAAAACATTGTTATAAATTTTTCAAAATATTTATAAACCTATTTCCATCTCGTTAATTGTATCAGAATAATTTCCAAAAAAAAACTTTATACTTGCAATTTTTTCAAATTTTATTCTCGACTGGAAAAAAAACTATCGAATAACAAAAATATAGTATTGAATTCTCACAATTATTTCAATCGTTTTTATTGAATAATATATTATATTATTTTTTTATTACTAAATATTTACTTTGGAACTATTCGAATGAGTCAGACACTGCTCGTCTCCCCACTTTAGATAAGAAACAGTATAAGTTTCCTAATTTTTGTCGGTTATTTCTACATATATTATCTTCGTGTGTACCGATACTTTCATTGTGATTGCATTAATTTTTTTTTTCTCTTTTGATCATTGCTCGAAAATATTTCAATGAGCCTCAGTGAAGATAGTCAATTATCAACGTCTACTGAGTAAGTTTGGTTACAATGACTCCAATATTATCAATAAGTTTTATACTTTGTCTTACACAATGACTAACAGTGGCCCAAAATTCTACTCACAACCTTGATGAACTTCCTACAAAACATCATGTGATGCCGCGAGATATAATTACTAATTACACAAAAATTTTAAATTTTGTGAACGAACACGAAAATAAACTCATTTTTGAAGACGAACATGAAAAATTTGTGTTAGTATTGGGGAATACTGGGGCTGGGAAAAGTACATTAGTCTCGGCTTTGATAGGGCGAAAATTGAAATCTTCTCGGATAAAAGGTCAAGCCTATCGTGTATTTATTGATGAAGAAGGTCGGATTGGAACAGGATCATCATCAAGAACACTTATTCCAGAAGCGATGACTGACAAAAAAAGAAATATAACATATGTTGATTTCTTAGGATTTCGTGATAATCGGGAGACCGAATATGAAATATCTTCTATATATTTTCAGAAAACTTTCATGAATCACGTCAAAAAAATAAAAATCGTTTTAGTAATCAATTACGAATCGTTAAAACACAATGGAAATAAAAATGATTTCGATGATTTATTGGAGCACATCTGTGGATTTATTAGAAATATTTCCAAGTTTTGTGACGGAGTAGGATTAGTGGCAACAAAAGTGGAAAATGTATACGACTTGTCTGATAATGAAGGTGCTCCGCCCGTTTTGTTGAACGACAATGAATCAGTTATGGAGGGAATAGTTAACTATTTGAATGATAAAAAAAAACTTACCGTAGTAAAACAGAGAACGTCGAAATGTACGCAAAATTTGTAGATATAATTGACGCTTTAGTACAAAAAAATAATGTATCATATCCAAGAATCGCTATTTTTCGACAGCCAACTCGGGAAGGAGAATTGAAAAAATTATCGAAGACGAAAAGAGAAATCAATACTATCCGGAAAATGATAACCGATAATCTACACTACGTCCAAAATAATAAGGATGATTTCGGTTTTGCTTTGTCTAAATCTTCGAAAATTATTGTAGATCAAATAGTTAATGACATATTTCGGAATGTTTTAATGAATTGCTTACACAAGATAAGTAACAAAATTCACACACACTATTTGCAAATAGAAAAACAACATAATGACATTGAAATGTTATATGATCGAACTTTGCAAGCTTATAAAGTTTTTTCTGAAATGAAAAATTTTAACGAACCTCTAGAATTCTTCAGAGAGTTTCTTGATGCAGTTAATACTTCAAATATTTCTGTATCGATAAATAATTTGAACGATATTTCAGATAACGTCAGAAAGGTGAAATTCTTTACAACAGTGTCAAATAGTAATAAAGACCTTTACATGATATTACTGAAGAATAGAGTCCAAGATGTTCTAAAATTAATTGAAGATTTAAAAAACATTGATGATTTTTTGAATAATTTGCAATCAAATCTAATGACATATAAATTACAGCAATTAAAAGATGACAGTCGAATTGATAGAATAAAGTTATCATGTGCTAGCTCGAAATCTATAACTGTTGAAAATATTACGGATTTGAATAATATTATGCAGGAAATCGGTAATGATGAGATTTATCAAAAAATAAAAACAATGAAACTTAACCGATTCCAATTAGATCATATCAAAACGATTTTCAATACATTTCAACGTAACATTCAATTTTCATGCACACCAGAGCAGCTGACTGTAAAAGGATACAATGTCAAAATGTGCGATGTAATCAAATGTGACTGCTGGGCACACGTAAAAATTATTCACGTCTTTGCGTTGAACAAGGTTTTTATAGATTGCCCAATAAATAAAACAGGTGAAGAGGTTCAGATATTTATTTTAGCACCCACGTGGGAAGTTATCAGAACCCAGAAAATTATTTTAAATGGCAAAGACGGAGAACCACCAAAGGCAGCATTTGCAAAATCATCTAATGTTTTGTTAGGAAATGGAACACATGGTTCTCAGGGGTTTCCAGGTGGCCCTGCTGGACATTTTTTTGGTGTTGGTGAACAATTTATAAATTCAAATAATCTGGAGATATATGCTAACGGTGGCAAAGGAGGGCCTGGACAACATGGTAGAAATGGTTAGAACTTCCTTTATTGGATTGATTTCTTCGTTTACTTACTAATTTTTTCTGGATATTTTAGGTACAGATGGCGTCACAGTTGAAGAAATTCCAGAATCGTTCTTAAAAAAGGAGTTTACACAGCATACAGAAGATTCAATAAATTTGGAAGATATAATTTCGAATAATATTATCATACGTGTAGTGACAGAAAAACCCAGCAATGGAGGTTCATATGAATTACAAAACTTTTTTCTTGCTTTTCAACAATTTTACGTAATTTCTTGAAGAAGACTTTAAAACACATTTTTGTTATTTTTATTGATTCATTAGAGCTTCTCACTGTTGTAGCAAATGCTTGGTGTCATTCATCTCACATCTTAACTACACCGAATGAAACTAAATAAATGACCATGCGCTAGACTTTTTCTAAAATAAGGTTTATATTGTAGGAGACGGTGGTGCTGGTGGTCATGGAGGATATCCAGGAACAATTGTAATTAGTGGCTTTGGAAACTTAGTCAATGTGAATACTTCAAAGAATATAGGTATTGAAATAGGAAGCTTGTAATTTTTTGTGCGCATACGGACTCGTTCTATCCCTTTGAGCTTAGTTCGAGGCAGATATTTCAAAATCATAAACATACATTTTAATTTTATTTATATGGAAAAAAAAATTACGCGTTGGAAGAACTCAAATATGTATCTTGCATAGACCCCGTTTTCAATTGTTTATAATAAATTTAATTGTTATTTTGATTGATTTATTAGAGTTTCTCACTGTTGTAGCAAATGCTTATGTCATTCTAAGGAAAACATTTTGAATTGAAAATACGGTGTTTGTGAAAATCATCCGTTGAACTGTATAGAAACACTAAAATGCTCCGTACCGACAAGATGGTGGGAATTATATTTGGCACTCGAGAAACTACCAAATTTTCTATTATTAAATGGAAAAATAATATTCTCGAGCCATTTTAACTACACGGAATGAAACTAACCAAATGACTGTACGCTAGACTTTTTCTAAAATAAGGTTTATATTGTAGGAGACAGTGGTGCTGGCGGTTATGGAGGATATCCAGGAACAATTGTAATGAGTGAGTATTAAAAAAGGAAGCCTGTAACATTTTGTGCGCATACGGACTCGATCTAGCATAGTACAAGTCTATTATTCTAAACTGTGATATCCCTCAAACAAGTTTGTAACGTTGTATTCTAGGTTCTACAGAGTTGGAGGGGCTGAGAGGACGTGGTGGACACAAATCATCAGGCAGACGAAGTTTGAGTTTTAAGCATGAACAACTTTCTGATATTGCCGGTGAAAAGTTGATTTTGGAGACTTTTAAGTAAGATTTTTTCCAATTTGCAATAGTAATGTGAATAGTAAAGGTTAAAATATCAACTCTAACTCCGTTATCGTTTTACTTACCTAGCGGAGAAAACTGCATTTTCCCATCACTCGTAAAGTTTTAGGTTCTGAATTAGAAACTCAATCGATAGGTTCTATTACGAATTATATCATATTTCACTACTAAATGCTCGGAAAACTAAAATAGCAAAGAAATGATCATTTTTTCCAATAAATTTATTCTATACTATCAATCAATGGTACTTGAATTGAAAAATTTACGTAACTAGTCGAATTGAAACTTAAACAAACAAAAATGGGGTCTGACAAAATCCAAATTATCTATAAGATCATAAAGAAAAATTCAAGTATGAACTAAAGTATACATATTTTCTTTCCAAATGCAATCCGACCATATGCAGCATAATTTAGGCTAATAAATCAATTTGTGATGGAAATCATTTGACTTATATTTATAGACTCTACCCGCGAGAAAATTTTCTTATACGATCGTATATAGGGAATTGGCCTTACATGGTTCATATATGAACCATATAAAGCCAATTCCCGATATAGCCTATATTCCCTTTATATATATAAAACATATATGATTTTATATGGTTTGTATATGGAACCTATGAGGTCATATATGCCACTTATCTATACTACAATATAAATTTCTGATTTCTTTCTGTCTGTCCGCACTAATTTTCGAAACGACCAATCCGATTGCGACCAAATTTTGCAGACATATAGAGGACGTTATCGGAAAGGTTATAGGCTACTTTCTGTTTATGTGAATTGTTTATAACAATTGAATTTGTTATAAACGATAGAAAACCAAATCAATGCAATATATTTAAGTTCTTTCAACGGGAAATTTTTTCTTTTTGCTAAAAAAAAGATACCAACTGTGTGACATGAATAAAAACGAACTCTTTTGTTTTTAACAATTGAATTTGTTATAAAAATTGAAAACAGGACGTAATGGATAGATTTTAGTCGATCGAACGGGAAATTTTTCATAACTCCTGAAAAAATAATATTTTATTGTCAATGCCAAACAAATAGGATCTTCGTGGACGAAGTCGCCGGTATAGGCTCGTGTGATATAGAAATTTCAAATTTCATCGTAAGACTCAATTTTTGACTCTTTAAAACAATAGAATCGTTATATATACAATACAAACACAAGGAGTTCGTTTCTATCCATGTTACATGGTCAGTAACTTGTTGTTGAAAGAAAAAGCCGACAGACACTAGAGATTTATATAGTAGTATAGATATACATATATACATATATCTCACTTTAGCTTCATATAAACGTAATTCAGATTTCTTACTTCAGTTAAAAAAGTTACACTCCAAAAAAAAGTAATGAATATTGTAAGATGAAGTATTTAGAATTTACATTTATTGCATATTTGAATGTATTATAGCATAGGGTTGTTTTTTAACCATCATCTGAAAAAATTTTTCCGTTTAATGCCTCAATTTTTATTCTAACTCTTATTTATTATGCAGCAGGGAATGGTTAATCAGTTTAGAATTTCCCGCTGGAGAATATGGGAAGCCAGGCTTCAGTAGAAAAGATGAAATACTTCCAAAAAGATTATATATGGTCAACCCATATTTTGTCATTTCTATTTACAAAGAATATATAAGGGAAAATCTCTATAAAAACCTCGAGGAAACAAAATTGAGAAGGTTTATTAAAGATCTCGAAAACGATCACTACATCGGAGTAGAATATAATACACTTGTTTTCGTTAGAGAATTAGAGGGATTAGAGAATCAATATCTTAAATTAGGAATTAAAATTGATTTTACTCCATTTTATGATTCATTACTTGTCCGAATTGAAAAATTTGCTATCTCTGAAAAACTCATAGAAAACAAAAAAGTACTAAACTTCATATATACTGTTGTACTCACAAAAATGTTTGCGCTAAAAGAGAGAAAAAAAGGTAAAACCGTTGTTAATTTGCGTATGTATCTAAACGCCATGGAGGAGAGCATAAATGAAGTCAATAAAAATACACACTTGCAAACTGTGCAGAAATACCAAACAGAATACAATAATATCCTAGCAAAAAAAATTCAGAAAGCAAAGGATTTCTCAAAAAATATAATTGAACCTGAAATTCAGAAACTTTGGGAACAGACAGACGATAAAATTCAGGCAATAATTAACAAAATAAATAAGAAAAAAAATTATACTCTCAATGCAAAAGTCAGACTTGAAAATGGTAGTTAAATTAGCACTCACACCCCTCAAAATAGCTGCTGGTTGTCTTTCATTTTTCGGACCCGTTGGTGCTGTAGTAGGTGCTGCGATAACATCAGCGGTATGGATAACTGAAGGAATGCTTATCAACAATAGTCCTGATAAAGCCTACTACACAGTTCCATCACTTGATTTGAATTCAGAAATACAGTCTCGGCTGACAGAAATTATTGATAATGAACCTAAAGAATTAGCTAATAAACTTGACGAGGTAGTTGCACAATTGAAAGAATACAATGACGGATTATTGAAAACACAGGAAAAAAAAAAGAAAATTCCCAAAAAATGAACGATTTTGAAAGAGAGATACGTAAAGTCAAAAATACAGTGCTTAAATCAATTTCAGAAGTCAATATTTTAAAGAACAATGTAAGAAAGATTGAAAAAAAATTAGTAGAGTTCACAAATAAACAAAAAGATTTCATAGAGCAGGAAAAGAAAACAACAAAAAAATCAATGCGCCAAATAAATAAAGTTCAATCCATTCTCAGTAGCAGCCAATCTGGGTATAATTTTATTCAACAATTGAAAAACACTGGAGTAGAGATTGAAAACATAAACGTATTGATTGCTAAACATGATCAACAATTGAGAGATTTGGAAAAGATGAAGAATCAAGTGTACGAAAAACTGATGCCGGAACTTCTTAGTATCGAACAAACGATGAATGTAATCAAGTCTTCAGTAGAAGGATCGTCACATGTTAAATTAGATATTACTAAATGGGCTGCTCGAACGACTTGGAAAGATCTAAAATTACTGTTACAAAAATTCACCTACCAAATGTCTTTCGAACTACAAAATGATTTAATACGTTTCATCGAAAAGATTGACGAAGGATTTTCCATTTTGATTGACCTTCATGATCGCATTGACACTTACGCAGACAGTGTAAAACAAGCTAAATATATTGCACATATTGAGTCTGCAACGATGGATAACATTCGAGTGACTGATGCTGAATTGAGTAAGGCAATGACTGATTTAAAGTTGATGATACATTCGAATATATTAACTGAAAAATATGAAATGGCATTGTATGCATTTAAACAACATTACTTTCCGTTTGCCGCTCGTGTACTGGGGAAATTCCAGCTACCTGTAGATCTACGGCTTAACGATAGCGAAACATTAAGAACAAATATTATCAAAAGAATCAAGGACATGAACTCTTACATTGATGAGAGTGAAGCAACAATCGACGAGTATAGCAAATTCGTTCACGAAAACAATGTATTCGATAGTGATACTACTGGTTCTTCGCCATTTTATGTACGGAACCATAAAACCATTAAGGATGAAATTCAGCAATTACTCAACGGTTCAGAGATTTTGCTTAAAGCAGATGTATCTAAAAGACTTAATTACAATGCGGTGAAATACAACGATATCAGGATCAATTTTAAATTTAAGAACAAAACTATCCAAAACAGTTTTAATTCTGTACTAAAAAATTTTGCATTGACCATAACCATGGTCGGTAATAACTTTTATCGTTGTGGTGAAAAATATTATTTCATTTCGTTCAATGACGATATTAGCATCACTTACACTCTTGATCAGGATAGAACAGGAAACTGGATTAATCCTAATTCAGTGTATACTACAATTCATCGTAGTCATTCTTTTCTTAGTCCCTACGGAATGTGGAGCATAAAATTAAAAAAATTGAAAAAATCAGTATCTTGGAATCAGTTACGTGTTTATTTAAATGAGATAGTTAAATTGGAATTGATTGGTCGTGGATATTATATTGAACAGGATCCCTATTTTAATTTGGAAATTTGCAATGAATATTTAGAATCATTTTACAACGTTGAAAATGTTGTTCAGCAAATTGAATGATTTTTGGAAAACTGAAACACAAATAACTGAATATCCTATACAGACACATTAAATACAGGACTATCTATAATAAAATAGAGAACATCATCGCTATATGTATATTTTAAAATATAGCCAAATAATAACTCCAAAATTAATAAATCAACTAAAATGTTTCTTGACAGCTATTAATAAATACAAGAGAAGATGTCCTGTCGATTCGAGTCTCAGCTATAAACTGGAGATAAACAAACTCTCCCCTCGTTGCTATAAACAATCTAATCGTCAAGTAACGTCAACATCCTACAAAACTGTCGTTTGTCCATTAATCATTAGATGGCGACATACGGATATTTTACAATATTTATTCAACATTTTCACAATATGCAACTGTTTAGTGTGATAAAAAGTCGTAATAATATCATACATGTTATTAGTGATATCACTAATAACACTGTTTTGTTTATTTTAGCTTTCTACTTTTCTATATACTCAAATGATTGTTTCGAAATTGTATAAATAAAATGTAAGAAAAGAGGAAAATTAAATTTAAATGATTGTTAGGTTCAGATAAATAATAAAAATGTTACTAATGTTTGCGATTACATATATTTATTGTTGTAATCAGTATGCATGGATTATGCATTTGTTACCGTATATTTATTGAATTGAGTTTCATACAGTCATTAGTGCATGATTTTAGTGTTTTTATCAGAATTACTACATTTCAGAATTTGAACTATTCCTATTATACTTCTCGCTTCGTATTGTACAATGGAATCTTCGCCAGTTGAATACAAATCAATATCCATTTGGCAACGACTCCTTCAAGAATTCTTCCTGGTAATTGGGCAATGAGAGAAAATTCCCAGTACATAATAATTATGTATTGAGAAATAAGTATGATATAACTCGAAGGGGCCCAGTTTGCAACTCTCGAGTATTGAATACGCGTATCAAGTTCAAGGAAGTGTCAATCGATAAAAGACAAAATTTCAATCTCCAATTTTATACACTTTTTTATTTTGAAAAAAAGTTTTTTATCGAAAAATATAGCTACAGGTATGTATAGTCGAACTGAGAAGGGAGTTCGTCAGTTCTATCTATCTATCTATTCTAGGCACCAGCGCTATTGCACTTTACGGCTGTTATCCGAATTAACGGAAGCGCGAGATTTATGAGTTTTATATTTTTTTAAACACTGCGTCCTGTTTTCTTCATGAAGTTAAAGAGGACACAGAGAAGGTTAGGGGATGGCTTAATTAGAAGAGGAAAAATATCACAGGGGGGGTTAAGGTTGAGGCTCTTAAGGGAGATGTATAGGGCTTTCTTGTGATCATTGTATAAAGGACACCACCACAGGACGTGATTGATGTCCTCGAGGTTTTGACCACAAGGGCAGGCAGGAGATGATACTATATTCTTTCTGAACAAACTAGCATTGAGGCTGTAATAATTCGTTCTCAATCGAGAAGTCATGACAATAATAGGTCTGCTTAATTTAAGCGTAAGAAACCAGGGTTTTAACGTGGAATTGCTATAATTATTAAAGTAATGAATGCCTTTATTTTCATTGACACTCTTTGCCCTAAGTGCAGGGATTCCGTTTTGTTTATGAGAGGAGTCTGAAGCCTGGAAAACGTCTGAGACCGGGGGGAGGACTGGTGTGCAAGAGACTCTCCCGGATCCGACATTCGCCAACTCATCAGTCTCCTCATTTCCAGAGATACCAACATGGGAAGGTATCCAAGTTATTTTTATAGAGGATTGTTGGGTCGTCAGAGTAAGAATCAGGTCTTTGATTTGGTAGATTAGATATTAGAGTGCAGGGAACCAGAGTTTGAGAGAGCCATAAGGGAACTAAGCGAGTCAGAGAAAATGATATATTTAGAGGGTCTAAGAGTTACTATGGTTTTCAGACAAAAGAGGATAGCAAGAAGCTCTAAGGTGAAAATTGAAGAGTTATAATTTATTCTATGAAATTCCCGTAGGTCTAGGGCTGGACAAGTAAATGCAAATCCAGCTTTGGCTGAGTCAAGTGACTTAGATCCATCTGCGTAGAAAGCTATGTGGTCTGGGTAGGTTTTCCTAAGTAGAATATTGAAATCCTCATCAGTTGTGGGAGAGGGAGGTGATATGTTGAACGGTTGGCCAAAGTGCAGGTCAATATCTGGGGTGAGCTGTATCACTTCTAGAGGGAATTCATATGGAGTGGCACTCGCCGAGGAGTAAACGAGACTGGAGTATTTTTAAGAACTGCAATATGCTTTGAAAAGAGGTATGGCAGAGATATTATAGGGAAGAACAGCATCAGAGTGGGCTTTCAGAGTAGCCGCACATTGGAGATGTTGTAGGAGGTCCAGGAGGGGATGCCCTTCAAGAGCAAGGGTACGTAAAATATACCTTGAGGCTAGCTGACTAAATCAGATGGAGAGGTGAAACTCTCCTGCCTCAGATAGGACTACATTGGTGGGAGAGCTTTGTCTTAGGCCAATGGACAGCCTTATGGCTTTAAATTGAATACGCGAGAATTTACTAAGTAATTGAGTGTTACTAGGAGGATGCACATGACAACCGTACTCTAAAACACTTCTAATTGTGGCTCTATAAAAGTTTAAAAGAATGATAGTGTCAGCGCCCCACCAGGTGGATCTAAGGGCTTTCATAACTGATATTAGTTTATTACATTTTTAAACCAGATTTGCGGTATGTGCATTGAAAGAAAGTCTACTATCGAGGGTGATTCCAAGGAAAGTAACTGAGTTGGTGATTTCTATGGAGGTGTTATTTATCAGTAGTGGACAAGGTTGAGGTGGATTATTTCTTCTAGTGAAAATGACAAGTTTAGATTTGTTTGGAGCAAGAGCCATCTTTAGGTCAGCAAGATATTTGCTCACACCATCCACGGAACGCTGGAGCGATTCAAGAGCCACGTCATAGTCTTGATGGGAAGAAGTGATACATATGTCATCAGCAAATTGGATAACATTGCAGTTAGGCTCAACCACAGATTCAAGCTTAGAGATATATAAGTTAAAGAGAGTGAGACTGGAGACTAGACCCTGCCCTGAACCTTTATTAACCAACCGAGGATCAGTCAGGGATCCACCAACCAAAAAGAAAAGGCGTCTCAAGGCAAGTAAATTAAAGTAAAAGTGGCAGTAGTTCTCTGGAAGACCAATAGAGGCCAAAACCTCAACTAGAAGACTGGGATCAACATTATCGAACGCAGATTTGATATCAAGGAACACTCCTAGGGTAAATTTTCTTTCAGCAAAACCTATTAGAATGCGTGAAGTTAAGATTGACAGATTGTCTGCACAAGATCTCCTTCTACGAAACCCATATTGTAAGCAGGGAAGAATATGGAAGTGCTCTAACCACCAATTTACTCGATTGACAACGATTCTCTCCATGAGTTTCAATAGGCACCCTGCCAAACATATAGGACGATATTTGCCTTTTTCAGGTTTAGGAAACAAGAAGACAATAAAATCGTTCCACGAAGGAGGGAGGGTATGTGATTGAAAAAGGCAATTGTAAATGTGGAGGAGGTGGTCCTTGTAAGATTCCGGAAGTTTACCAATCAGTTTGTAATCAAGGCCGGGGGACGAATTTTTTTTGCTATTATCAAGAGCGATTTTGAATTCAGACTTAGAAAAGGGACTATTGAGAGAATCAACAGGAATGGAAGAAGAAGAAAATTGAATATGAGTAGGAAAGACTGGAGGCAACGCGGATGGATCAATAGGAGGACACATATTGTCCACAAATCTCAATTGTAATTCCTGCTGTTCCAAGTCTTCCGATGAAGGAGGAGCCACCGAGGCACAACGTCTGTGTTTAAATGCTTCAAGTTTCTTCCAAATAACAGAGATGGGTGTAGAGCGGTTCAAAGATTTACAAAAGCTAGCCCAGCCATCCCGTTTAGCTTTGTTAAAACAACGTCGAGCTTCTGCCTCACAGCGTTTCATGTTGTCGTATGCAACCCAAGTGGGATCGTGTAAGTAGACGGAGTAAGATTGAGATCTAAGATCCGAAAGATTCGAGCATTCCCCATTCCACCACGGAGAGGGGGATGCTGTCTTATTGCGTCTTGCAAAAGTGCAATTTGTGATAGGTGAAGCAGGAAAAACAGAAAGGGACCTACCCCCAGAGTCAAAGATGCAATCCTTTAAGATGCCCAAGAAGCGTCAGAAAAATTGAAACAAGTGGGAGAATAAAAAAAGAGAGAGGGATAAGAGAATTAAAGCGCGACAGTGGTAGATCCGCCCACATCAGTTAAGGCCAGACAACCTAGAGAAGAAGGTATAGAAAACATGCTTTTTCACCTTCTAAAATCTGTAACTTTTTTCAATATCAATATTAAGAAATAAAAATTGGCAGACTAATAGGGAACAGTCTAATCTATAATCCTGTCCAATTAAAATGAAACCGCGAATCGACCTCACGGGCAATAATGTGAGCAATTATGTTTTCTGTACCTTTTTCTATATAATTCATGCTCTCATGATTGCCCGCAAGATCTATTCACGATTGTACATTATTTTATAATATTGATATTGAAAAAAGTTACAGATTTTAGAAGGTGAAAAAGCATGGTTTCTGTACCTTCTTCTCTAAAGTTGATGCTCTCATAATTGCCCGCGAGGTCGATTTACGGTTTTTAATCATTTTAGTTGGGCAGGATTATAGATCAGACTGTTCTTTATTAGTCTGCCAATTTTTATTCCTACAGTTTTTTAATAGACGATTATTGTCAATTAAATTGATGAGTTGGGAATTTTTTCAAAAGAGCGTCTGCTTCAAAAGTACAGCAAGACGGAATGGCAAGACGCTAAAAGGTCAAAGCAGCGCTCGCTATCTGTCCCTTTAGATATTCAATATAGTCATTAAAATTCCATTTTTTTTATTGATGTTCGCTATCATCAATTTCTTGTTTTTCTTAAATTACTTTTCTGAACAATTTTTTTTTCTACGCAGGGAGTTGATTTCAGATTATTTTGTATTAAATTCAATTGTATTAGTTTTTCATTTTGCTTCGATTTCGATCCCTCAGAGGGAACCACTTTATGTCTTTATGCTCCTCCTCCTCTCAATTATGATGCTCCGCCTTATATGCCCTCTCTTCTTTTTTATTTCGATGCTTCCTGATGCCAGCGCCGCTTGTTGCGTTTCTGTGTACTACTCTACAACTCTACTTTTTGATACTCATTTTGCTTACTTCCCCAACGTCAGTGCGGCCTTCTTATTATATTCTCCATGGTTGCCAGTTATTGTTGATCTTTCATGTATAATGGCTTCTACATCAGTTCATCCTGAGAAAGAATTAGATTTAAGTAATGCAAATCGTGGTGTATGGCTTGTTAAAGTTCCAAAATATATAGCAAATAAATGGGAGAAAGCTCCAGGAAATATTGAAGTTGGGAAACTCAAAATTAACAAGTAAGTTTACAAGAATATGATATTTGAGGTTTATAACCAACTTTTTTTTTACTAAATAAGTTTAATTAATACAGAAATCCCGGACACAAAGCAGAAGTAACTTTAAGTTTATCAGAATCAGTGCTAGCTTTAAAAGAGCCTGATGAAGAAGATATACCAAAACATCATAAACTAGACGTTACCACTGTGATGCATCAAATGCTTGGAGTATTTTCACACGTAACACGTAAGATAAATAAAGTCAAATGTATTACTAATTACACTTTTTTATTTTAATTAATTTTATATCATATTGTTTTAGTGCCAGACACTGAAAAAATGTGCATGGAAGGAAGGATTGTACAAAAGTTAGAATGCCGCCCTTACGCTGATGATACTTACATGAAATTAAAGTTGGAGAGTATTAAAAAGGCTGCAGTACCAGTGAGGCAAATTCAACAGCTGGATAAAGTCGTACAAAATTTTAAACCTGTTTCAGATCACAAACATAATGTAATTTTATTGTTGTATCACAATTATTTTATTATAAATAATTATAAAAAGTCGTTATTTATATCGATTAATTTTTATTACAGATTGAATATGCTGAAAAGAAAAAAGCTGAAGGCAAGAAAATGCGAGATGATAAAGATGCTGTATTAGATATGTTATTCGCAGCATTTGAAAAACATCAATATTATAATATTAGGGATTTAGTGAAAATTACTAGACAACCAATTGTAAGTTTATTATTAACATTTTTATACTTGAGTATAAATGATTTAGCTATTAAATAATTATTGTTTTTTTTACATTATAGGTGTATTTAAAAGAAATTTTAAATGATGTATGCAATTATAATTTAAAAAATCCGCACAGAAACATGTGGGAGTTGAAACCAGAGTATAGGCACTATAAGGAAGACAAATCAACATTACCTGAAAAAGCATCAGAGTATTCGGACGATTCAAGTTAATAAATGATTTTTTTCATTAAAAAATATAATTCATTACTTATAATTATTGCTATAAAGTTCTTTGGTTTACATAAAAAAGTAAGCTTAAACATTGGCAGATGCTTGAAATATAACTGTCGGTGATTTTTCACTCAGTATTTTCAGTTGTAACTGTTCATTGGCCCCAAGAAATAACACAGATCCTTTCTGGTAAATTTTATTGTCTATTTCAATTTTTCCTTCAGTGATTAGTAAGATAGATGCTGAGTTCAAAGGTATCATTTTGTACTCTTTTATAGTATTGTCAGTTATATTTATTTGTATAATGGAAAAATCATCAATGGGTGGTTGAAAAATTTGAGCAAAATTATTATTCATCAGAATTTTTGATTTAAATAACTTTTGTGATCCAGGTTCACATTGATATGTTAACATTTCGATGAGGGTTGGAACGTCTTTTAATTTTGGAGTTAATCCAGCTCGAACGACATTATCTGAACAAGCCATACATTCAATACAATCTGGAATAATTATTGAAAAGTTAATGAATTTATAATACTTCAATTTTTAAGGTTCATAAAAAATTCATTACGATATTAATAAATCTATTATTTTTAAGACACGAAATTATAATCGTGTGAAAATTTATGAATTAAAAATGTTTTATAGATATTTTATTTATAATTCAAACTCACATTTAAGTTCTTTACCTTTATAAGCATAATGTTTTGTATTTTGGAGATATGAATAAATAAATATATAAAGTTCTAATCAATTGAGATTATTTAATTTTATTCTTACCTCCAGACAGATAAGCATGTGGTTCATTTGGGCCAAGATATATAGCCTCACCAGGTTTCAATTCTATTAAATTAAAAAAGTAAATTCCAAAACATCCTACATCCCCAGGAAAATCTGCATTTAATCTCTCTAAGATGGAAGCATGAAGCATTTCTCTACTGGATTCGTCTATAAATAATGCATCTTGATTAGAATTGTTCATTCAATAAACTTAAAAATAAATTTATTACCCATTGATGACAGCCGATTTATAAAGTGTTTTATCTGTGAAGCAGTAGAGTCAGAATGATGAGTTAAAATCCTTTCTAAGCATTTTTTCAAATATTTCTTAGCATCAGCTTCATTACAGCCAATGAAATGCTCGGCTGTATTATCACCAATAATATTATGAAGTTCCGGTATGGTATTAACAAAATTTTGTATTTCAGTAACAGGTCGGAAACCACAAAGTGCTTTGAACGGTGTTAGAGCTATAGCAAGTTCAGGTTTATGATTTGAATCCTTGTAAATGGTTGGATGTAATTTATTTAAATTGGTAGCCAATTGCTTGTCTGGGTGCGCTTGTATAGATAACGCTTTATCAATAGATAAAACTTTAAATAAAAAAGGTAAAGAATCGCCAAAAGTTTTCCTTACTTTATCTCCCAAAATCGTAACATTTTTACCCACATATTCATGTAAATGTTCTCCAGTATTTTTTAATACTGATGGTCCATTTAAATGTGTTCCCATCCACAGTTCAGCATATGGCTTGTCTTCATCTATTTTAATCTCAGGATTAGCTGCCTTTAAAAATTGCGCAACTTTACTGTTCATTCCCTTTTTGCCCCAATCATAATGTTGAACAGTACACTTTAATTCCATTGTTTCTAACCTAGAATATAAAAGAAACTTGTTAATTACAGATAAAGACAATACTGATAAATTTCATATATTTTTTAATGATTTTATTATGTTCATAATTTTATAAAGATTATTTTAAACATGATAAAATTCTGACTTTTATCTACAAATACCATATGTAAGATTTTATTATTATTCAGAAAATAGTTTTATTAATAGAAAGATTACCTTACGTTATCAGCAGAGGTGGAATAGTTTTTTCGGTCACAAAGAAACAAGTGACAATTAGTAACAACAATATGTTTGATAAAAAATCTTGATAACTATTTAAAAATCTGTTCAGTTCTCTGTTTTATGGACATAGAAGCACAACTTGTTAAATAATTACTTCAAGATTAAATTAATTTTTACCGGAAAAGATTTATCTAAAATCTTGATATTTTTACAAATTTATTAACACAAAAAAATTATTTAATTGAAAATATATTTTAAATTAAATTTACTGAAATTTGAAATCAGATAATGTGTACAGAGCTTTGACTGTACATCCATGCATTGTAGTTCGTATAAAAATTGTAAGGGGGAGCTGTGTGTTCTCTTATCACATTTGTGTATATTATATATTCTTGATTCTAATAGCTTCAAACTGGAATCAGCTTCAGTCCTTCGTGTTTTCTTTACGGGTGATGATGTATGCGTGTTTTTTATGACGTGTATTTTAATTGGTGAAAAATATGAAATAAATCAATAAATTGTTAAAAGTTCTATGCAGTTAGAATAATAGCTATGGTGAGTGATAAATAGATGGTAATTTAAAATGAACCGACCACATAGTTTGCTAAATTACTCAATTTATTATTATCTGGCGCGTTTCTTGTAATAAACGGCGCCATTTTTTATATGTTGTTTCGTTTTTTCGTGAAATACCCTTGTGCACGTGGATTGATTGCTGGCAAACATGTTTTATTTTGCTACCATTTTGTACTCTGAAGGGTAAATGAAAGTAATTTATAAAGAAAAATTTAACTTGTGTAAATTTTAACACAGAAGTTTACGAAACGTTGACAAGAAAAATTGATATCATATTATTTTTTTTTGTTCATTATAAACCAGAAAGATTTTTTTTTTATGGAGATTGTTCTTAATAGTTGTTGACCTTATATTAAAACGACTGTCTCATGTCTCATCTTGACACTTTCACTTTGTATTATATGGCGTTCCTTTTGAATTGCTTCCATATACTCTCACTTCTTACCATGATGCAACATACTATTTCCGTATTTTTATTGGTTTCAAGTGATTGTAAGGAGCTAAATTCCTAGGATTAGCGGTTCATAAAATTAAATTGATGGTAAAAGTTTATGGAATTATTGAAAATTATTTAATTTTTGAGAAAATTATTTTGTTGGAACAGGAAATAAAAAAGAATAATTCAATTTTATCATTAACAACAAAAACCTTGTTTATAATATTAGATCAATTAATCATTAAAATAAATAAATATCAAAACAACCGTAGCATGGGTTCATTGGTTCATTTGAATTGCAAAAAATGTCTTTTTTTTTAATTTTTACAATAAAAACTGATGCAGTTTATTCTTAATTTTGCAGATACAGCATCTGGAACACTTAGAACATATATCTTCAGTGCATAGAACTAATCGATATAAGGATAAAATGGAAGAAAGCAACCACTGAAAGTCGCTTTGTGTTTTATTTTGGGAATGTTGGTAAACAAAAACGCCAGCACGAAAGATTGTTAATTAAAGGTGGGAATATATTAAAAAATTTTTTATGATAAAGCTTTTAGTCATTTATTGCTTTTTAAAGATATAAATACATCCTTGATAACAATATACAGAGAACTCATATATCCTACGTCATTTTCTGCATTACGTTTTATGTTTTTAGTAGAAAATAACAGTGTTATTAAAGTGATGAAAGCGTACACATTCAATTGCAGTTTGTTGTTTACTTGGTCATCATTTTTTTCAGCATCTAGACATGTATTCTGTAATTGATGGTAAATTCAAATTTAGAAACGTCTGAAAAATCATGTCATTATTACTGTAGGTCGTGGAAGTCAGCGTCTACGTCAGTAATTTTTTTTTAATATTTGAAAAAAACTTGTCTAATAAAATTTACTCATTTTAATGATAATAGTCAATTTATAAGTACAATAAAAAACATAATGTTTTCAAATTTATAGTTGAATATTGATGAAAAAATTAATGAAAGATAATCTAATTCATTCACTTATTAAATAAATAAAATGTAGATAACTAATAGTTTAATTTAATTTTCATTTGTTATTGATCTTTAATTTTAATCAATTTAAATCAATTAGAGTCATTTATTCAGACATTTTATTATTTATTTGTGCATTAAAATCACTAAACTTACCTTGATAATCGAGTTGTCCTCAAGTTTTATTAATTATTGACTCATCAAGTATTTATCCTTGTTTTATTTATCAACTTTTTGTATCAATATTTTTTGTGACTCGACCGCCAATAAATAATTATATAACGATCGTCGACTAGCTTTCTACTTCTACTTACTTACATACAAGTGACTTACAAGGACGTGACGCAAGTTTTGCGAGTAAATGTTCATGCAATAACTTAACTTAAACTAAGTATATAAGTAAGTAAAATCAGGACCGGTTAGCTTGACTGATGAATATTATTCACTTACGATACATATGTGGTTATATGTTTTTTTTGCGACAGGTAAAACAGAGCTGAACGATGTACAAAAGCTTTCTTTATGCCTCATAATTTTCTACTGCCAATCAACGTTGCATAAAAATCATTTTAAAAATTATCCAATACAGTCAATCTTATATCTTCATAAAAAAAAACTGTTCATAAAAACTTTCCATGAAAAATTACTACTTGTTGCTATCTTTTAAAACGAATTTACAATTTATTAAGTGTGAAATGTTAGAAATCATTTGAGCATTTATTTGTTATGATAGACATATTTATCACATTTTTTTATTGGATTATAGAGATTAATATTAGAAGCTAGATAACTTGAAAAATATTGATGTCTGTATGACTGTAAAATGATTTAATTATATATTAAGTAAATTTATGTATAGTGAACTTTTATTAATTGAGATCATAAGGATATCAATGTAGTGTTTCATTGAGTGCGTCTCTCATTCTTTCATTATTTTATTACGTTACATTATCACGACTTATAAATATGATCATAACACTTATATGTACTTGACACTAAATCTCTTTTAAGTAGGATCAATAAAGACCTAACTTACAAGCATATTACATTGTGATAAAATTATTTTTACAATTATATAATAAGGTGTAATAATTGAATTGATAAGTATTTATTAATATAAATGTGAACTTTCTATTATTTAAGAATCTTGGAATAATGGAAAAAGGCAACGCAATGTGTTCGAGACCACTAGGACCTACAGCACCTCCACCATCACCATCAGCACTTCCTCCTTCTTATGAGGAAGCTATAGCACAATCGATGGGAGTGACAAATCCACCCATCAGCGTTCCACCCTATCCTACAGAACCTAGAATTCCAATGCCTACACCTTGTAAGTATTTATCTTATTAAAAAATGCAACATATTTGAATTATTAATGATATATATTGTTTTTTTTTGCTACACTTTCTTTTGACATTTATTGATCAAGTTTTCTTCATTAATATTTTATATTCCATCTAAAATTTCTTCACTACTATTTTAATGAATAATAATTATCCTATTTATACTGGAAAATATCTCTAATATTTTATTTCACTGATATTTATGAATTCATTTCAAAATTCACAGCATTTAACTTATGCTTAAGCTCTCTAATACCCTTGTGAATATTGTGGTGTAGAGATTTACATTAATTAATGCTTTTTATCTCATCATTTTATAAAAAATTAGTAATAAATATTGTATCTATTTGAAACAACTTTTTACTTGTTTATTCTCACGAGTATTTTCAGTATATTTTATTCATTATTTTCTATTTATAAATTAATTCAGTTATTTACTTTTACATAATTTTTTTTCTTGTGTGTATGCTGGTGGAAAGTGACTTGAAACCTTTTTAAACTAACAAAAAAATTACACTTTTTTTATTATTATCTTAAGGTAATTATAAACTCACTTATCCTTTCCTATATTATGTTCCTTTTATTCTTACATTTTACCTGTTTTATTTTTTAATCACAGTATTTTATTCATTTGTAGTTCTTTATGCACAAAGAAGCTTTAAAATATTTGTTATTCTAAATGTTTACAAGGTGAGTGGTATACTAATAAATCCTTAATGATAGTAACTGATGCTTTTGAAACAGATCATTTCAATCTTGTTACTCTCACTTTGTTAACACGAATCTTAATATTTGAAATGATTACTTTTTGTTCCATTTTTTTTAACGAGACTTGGATGCCAAATGAATATAAATAATAAATAGGACACCAGAGAATTTTGTTTGATTCGGGAATCTTCAATAGCATGACTAAATTTTTTTTTTCTCTTTTATGTCACTGATGCGAATGACATATCGTACCACTGATACAAGTTATCTATGGCCAGTGATATTGAACTTTTCGCCTTCGTCAGCGATGCTAGATACCAAACGTGATCAAACTAATGCAACCAAAATAAATTATTTCTCTCTATTTTTCTCATTAGAAATTTACTCGTTTATTTATATTTTATTGCTTTTATTTTATTGTTTTTTTCTCGCGTTACCATTTTACACCTCATTCTTATTTTCTATCTACAAACTTGCTCCAAGTAAAAATTCACATTCCATGAAATTCAACAATAATATTATAACACTTGTGCATTGTTATGGAGTCGCTCCTTTCGTTTTTCTTATATTAAAAGATTAAATTTACATTTTGCTGCTATTTTAATGTTTTTCTTTTATTGTTATTTCTGTCTTTATGACAATTGTTTGTTTTTTAGATAAACTATTGACTTAGTAGTAGGTCATATACGATAAAAATTTTATTATTTCTAGTTATTACGATGCTAATTCTTTCCTAACGTTTTAAGATGGTTTCTTCTTGGGTTAATATTCATTATTTGTTTTTAATAAATTATGATATTTTATGTTTCACTTTTTATTGACTGAATTTATTTAAGTGGGAATATCCAAGTAAGAATATAAATTATTATAAATGTTTTTATTTGTATATTTAATGACATTTCTTTATTAATTGAATGATTTGTAATTCTAGATATTCAACCAATGATCCAAATGCCCCAACCTAATCATTCTGATGGGCCAATTGTATACGATCCTTCACCACAATATAACAATAATACACCTCCAACATATCCAATTACGTCGGAGGTCAGAGTAGTACGTCAACCTGGATCATATGCTTTGGCGCCAAGTCCTGTTAAAATGCAATGTCCTTCTTGTTTGGCGGATATCAAGACATCTATTGTTTCAGATCATCAACCTATGGCACATATTTGTTGTCTCATTCTTTGTATTCTTGGGTAAAAATTACAATTTAAATGATTAGCCAATTTTCTTTTGCTGAGTAATGAAAATTTAATTGTATTGTCAGAAGTGAATTGAAAGTTTTTCTTTTTAGGTGTTGTTTATGTTCTTGTCTGCCGTACTGTATGAGTGCCTTCATGACAGTTCATCATTTTTGTCCTCGCTGTAAAATTTATATTGGTACATGGAAAGGATTTGAACCTTCTAGACGTCTCATGGCAGTCAGAGTTTAAATGTATTTTCAAATATTCATCATGCATGAAAATATTATTGAAGATAATAATTAGATACCTTGAAATATAAATATTTATTAAAAAGAATACGTCAACAAAAAACAGTAATTTACTCAAAAATTATTAACGTTCTAGAAAATTTTTGAAAAAATAAATATTTAAAAATTCATTAAAAAATTAATGAAAAATTTCTCATTCAGAGCAAATTAATTATCTCTGTTTTAATTACAGCTGTGCTTTAAGTAATTATTATAAAAATATTTGAATTTAGGTCATAACACTTATATAAATATTGTATGATAATTAATGATATTGTACATTTATTTTGATAGTTATAAAAGTTTTTTATAAGCCAGTAAATCTAGTAAGTGAGTTACTAGATAACACATTTTGTTAATATAAATCTTCCTCTCCTATATTGTATTTTACCGTTTATTAATTATTTTTTTATACATCTCTGTGTATACGTACTGTCTATTGAAATAAACAAAATACTGATGTAGATATATTTTTAATGAAAAAACATTGCAATTTTCTTTATTTGAATTCTTAAAACTTAATAATACATTACGTTGACTCATCGAATTTTACATTTTAACTTGCATTGCATTTATTGTAACAATATTATTTATTTTATATATAAAGATTGTTTAAGTAATTATTAATAATGATTGAAATTGATAGTTAAAGCTAAGTTTTTATTGAATTATTCTCGTTCTTATTGTGATACATTTTTATCGTTAAGCTTATTAATTGAGAATCTCACTAGACAGCGTGATGCTCTGCTATATTTTTGAGTAAATCAGGATTACGCGGCGGAAATTGCTGCTGAGCGATTGCCGACAGCTGCATATCGATGGGCTTTGTATCATCATACAAAGCCGGTGCTTCGCAAAGGATAGCAAACGTACCAACAATCGATGCGATTGTGAATATCCATAGAAATAGACGATCAAGTACCATGGCAACAAATCCCCAGTCTTGATCTTCCTATAGAATAAATATAAAATAGTTTATTTTGATTAATACTTGATTTAATTATGATTTATTTTAGTTATTAAGTAATTATTTGATAATCGGATTTGAGTTTCATTCTACTCCGAAAATTTTTTCATCCATTTAAGACCATTTTTTGGTGTAAAAATATACATTTTAACGTGGAGAAGACTTATTTTTTATTTAAAAAAATATATTTTAATGCTACTCAAAATATTATGCCATAAAATATTTGACTATTGTATGTTTTCTCTATTTGACAATTGATTTCAACTCATATGCAGTAATGTTTTATAAGCAAACAAAACATCAGTTTGAGACAGATTTCATTATACCGGAATGGATGGTATCTATTGATAGGATGAGAGTGAGTGGGAGAAGGCAGTTTGTGAAATGTTTGTCCAAGTTATTTTGCATTCTCCCCTATTCCCACTCCACTAATAAATACGTATGATCCAGTAATTTATGTTAAAATGACAATCACGATAAAAATATTAATCAGTTAAATTTTAGTAGCTTCTACTTAAAGTTTATCTTTTGTGTTAAATCAACTCAATCTAAAACTAATTTCAACCTATTAAACTTTTTTGTTTTATTTTAAAAATATCTCCAACATCTGCAGTATTGAAATATATTGTTGCAAATTTTTAAAACGATCTCTTTTCAGGGAAATATAAAAAAAAGTGCCTCCCCCACCTAAAAATGCATATCCACGTACTGAAAAATAGGTGTAATATGTGAAAAAATATTTAGAGCAGATTTTAGTTCATGCCTCACTTGTAAATATTCAACATTTATAATTTATAAATGAAATGTTATATCACACTTCACCTATTTCATTTCATGATTTGATTACTTTATAAAACTTTATAAAATAATTCATTTGAATAATTTACCGCATTAAACTCATCTTGACGTTGAATGTGATGTTGAATAAACATGACATTGTGAAGTGCTTTCTCCAACTCAAATGGATATTTTTTTTTCGGACCGACATCACTCATAGATTCGTCCAGTCCAGACATGACAGTAGGAAGTCCATTGTAGCCTCCCATTCCAGGTTCCAGACCGAGAAATCTATTCCCTGGAGTGTTATGTAGTCCATTGCAAACTGAAAGTATTTTAATATTTATTATTGTCTGGTTTATAGGGGAGAAAAGGGTGGACAGTAAAAAGTCAAGTGTGCAATTTATCACCTCGTCGCCTTACAGATTCAGGAGAGGACATAACAGATGGTGACCGCATAGCAGCAGATATTGCATTATCAAATTTTGTTTTTTTAGCAGGCTTCCCTCTACCGTACATTTTATGTGCTGCTAGGTCATTTAGTAGATCATCTGGCACTCTCATTAATAGTAGTTTAGGCAGTCTTCTGATAAATATTTTCCGCACCCAGGGTGCCATTTTATGGGTACTGGGTTTACGGTAATGAATATTGAGAATAATAATCGTTACAACAACAGATAAGGCAACGAGTATCATAGTGAATAGGAGATATTTCCCTAGCAAAGGAAGTGCTAAAGATGTAGAAGGTATGATCTCGGATATTAGTAAAAAGAACATAGTTTGAGACAATAGAATGTTGATGCACAATGCTATTTTTTCTCCAGAGTCGGCTGGTAGATAAAATGCTAGAACTGATAGGTATGAGATGCTGACACAAGGTATTATGAGGTTGACAGTGTAAAAGAGAGTTTTTCTACGTAAGGTAATGTTGAAAAATATGTCTGGATAGGGTTCTGTACAACAAGGATAGTATTTCTCGTGACGTTCCGCTGGAACACCCAGAATATCCCATTCAACACTTGGATAATATTCCCCTAGATCTATTCCTACTTCAACGCTATTGTTTCCCGTTTTTTGACTGATGTGTTTTAGGTCAATCTGCAAATATGAGACAAAAGAAGGCTTTTAATGTTTTATTTTATGCTAACAATGGATATTTTTATGATGAATATTCTTTAAAAACTGTTGGATTTTTGTACTTTTTATGAAAAATATGATAATCATTCTATCATAATTTTTCTAATTTATTTATTTTATCTTCTCTTCAAATAATTTATTCGTTATTAACGTAAGTTTATTTCACAGTTATAATTATTCAAAATGGAGTTAAAATTATGATTAAATAGTCATACCATCATCGTCTGGAATAGATTATAAAATTAACATAAACAGAGAAAACATATTTGCTCTACCTGTAGCCCATCATATGTCCACGAACCAAACTTCATGAAACATGTTTGTTGATCAAAGGGAAAATATCGCACGTCTATTTCACATGAAGATTTAAAAATTGCTGGAGGTGTCCATAATACTTTGCCAGTGTAGTGTAATACAGCTTTTGTCATTGTCGTTACACCATATTCTCCATCAGCACTTGATACATTTTAAATAATTATTTAATTAATAAAATATTATAGGTACAAAAAAAAAATACAAATATTTAAAGGAAAATTGGAACAATTACAACAGTAATAGAATTCATTTGGAAACATTTAAATCAAAGTGAAATAGTTTAAAACTTACTTGTTATATAGAACAATATCTGGAAGCCAAATATGTTCACTAGGGACGTAAAGTTCAGTCACTCCGCCGTATTCCGAAGGATCCCATTGGAACTTGTGATCCTGCCATTCCTGAGTGAAATAAAAATTTACTTTACCAGTTTTACGTCTCTTTTAGCACATTTTAACATTCAACTGTCACTTACGTGGTCTAGCCAGACATTTGTGGTTAGAATTTGGTCTTTTAAATTCTACAAAAAAAAAGAATAATAAAAAATCGGTTTAAGTAACTTGAATAAAATAAAAAGAATTATTTAACTTTAAAAATACTTATTTTATTTTGAAACTTACAAGATCGATAAGCTGTGATAGCCGAAGTCCTAGTTTCACCACAACAATGTGGGTATTATTTGATACCGGTCGTATAAGTCGATTATAGTTGGACAAAAGATCGTCATAAAGGCGTTTAGCATCAGGATTACCAACACTAACGCCAATAGTAAGACTCAGAATAAATAGCCTTGGTAAAGTCATCATGATTTTCCACGTGTTTTAGTCTAAACCGCGCATCACTGCGCCACGATCGTTTGTTTTCATTTAACTTGAGCAATGAGGTTATTGTTTTTTGTTCTTTCTACTTTTTATTGATGATAATTACTTTGAGCAGCATTTTCTGTTACTACTTTTCAACATATTCAATGATGATTCTTCATTAAAATCTATTGCATTCCATTAATACAACTTACTTAACTTCATTACCGATCGATTTATCATCATATCATGAAGCTTGCGATCCAATTTCGGCTCTTCCTGTCGCTTCGGATACTCTATTCTTGGGTTACAAACCTGTTGCGTGATGAAAATTGAAATTATTAGCATTCACAATTCAATTGATTATCTTCAATAAAAAAATATCATTTGATATTTAAACGATTTTATAGGAAATTAAAATTATTTTTATGTTCACTAATTAACTGATCAATCAAAAATTGAATTTATCACCACTTAGGAATAATAAATCAGTTTAACAAATAGAAAGAAAAAATCTCGTTAGTGTTACCAACTAATCGGATGAATAAATGTATGAGTTGATGATGAAATAACACGGAAAAACGTAATTCAATTGAAATAGTAAATGAAACCGGATAACATCGAGAATTCAGTCTAGTTAAAGTGACGCGAACAGAATTGACATCGACTGTCTGCGCGGTCGGTGGACCACTAAAAGCTGAGATGAGAGGGTGCGCGATAGCTTCCGTTGGATTTGAGGGGTAGGGGAGTGATCGATACGCGACTGCGCTACACTAGTGGGGTTCATCTTATTTCTAATAGTGGATGCGCAGACTCGTCTATGGTCCAGAGGGAACCTGGGAAATCGTGAATTTAATTTTTTTTGTCATTATCTTGGTATGGTTTCTAAGTAATATTTGATTAAAATATTTCTTGCTAACAAACTTACGTTTAATAACACTTTCTTCAATGATATCATCATCTGTTAAGATATTTTTTTTAGCTTTAAAAATCCAATGTGTTAACTGTTGGTTGATGGAAAATATCATTTTAGGCATTATTTGTTCTGTTTATGAAATAATTCTATTTTATTGATTCTCTGGGAGGTCAATAATTTTTTTTGTTTTTAATCAGCAATGAATTAAAACAATTATTTAGCTAGTAGACAGATGATTAAGGCGTGGGTTCTGTACTGTTTTTTCAACCCAATTCATTGCTGGGTTCTTACAAATTGTCGGTGGCGCCTTAGAATGAGACAGGGGTGGGTACAAGGGAAATGAATTATTTCTGCGTCGGAGTAGACAGAGGGTGAACATGAAATTTTCGTTCCTCTGCTACTTTTAGCTCTACCAGGGATAACTGCCTTCCCTTTCCAAGCGAATGAAATACATAAGGGATGCGCATACACGTTTTCTCCCTTTTCCTCCCCCCTTTCCAGGTTTCATCTCATCCTCCTCTCGTCTATTTTAGATCCCATGGGTATCTAACTTGCGATGTGCATTCGCAGGTGAAACTCCCTTACGTTAATGCCCTTCGGCTGCTAGCATACTTTCGGGCTAAACGGATTGGAATTTATGACTTCCTCTATCGCGAAAACAGTTACGAAAAATTGGCTTTACTCTTCTTTGTTGTCTTCTCATTTTTTTAATGCTATTTTCAATGTTTTTGTTTTATGAGTTTTTATTTGCAGGTTGGATAAATGATCCAATTCCTGACACTGGTTTATTCATATTTTAATTGTAACTGTGGTCATTTAGTTGGTAACAATGATGAAGTAGAAAAAGGCTACCAATTATGGAGTATCATCATTAAAAATACATACAATTTAGTATCACAAAGTCTTCAGGATCTTTAATGTATCACTAATTGGAGCATACATTCTATCTACATCAATATTTTACCAAAAAAAAAGTGCACTAAACTCAAGAAGCTTGAGAATCTACAGTTGAAATAGAGAATTTCAAGAGTTACTTTTTTCTAAGAAGAGAAACCAATTAATGTAAAGCGCTTGACCCTAGCTATCGATGGATTGGGTAAAGATGATGGGGGAATTAGAGAAGGAATCATCATTGAATAGGCAGATGTTCAATGACATATATCGTTTCTGATGTTCATAAGCTTTTCAGTTGATCAACTGACGATAATATATTGCTTGAATTACCAAGTTGATGATAATGCTGCAGAACTTTTTAGCTAAACAAATGGACCATTGCATGAGATTAACCATCAACAATGTTCCATTTAATAAGATTTCATTTCAAGATAAATATGTGATATTCTCTTATTAATAGTCATTGATAAATACAGTTGATATCATGGATAGTTGCTTTCATCATAAATGTCATCAAGAGGATGAAGCTTGGAATAGTTGGTCAAATATCAATGATGTTGATAATTAGATGAAATTAATTGCAGTGGAATATGATAAATTCTTCTCAGTAGTAGTAATGACTTATGAGCATGACAATAATAATTATAATAGGAAAAGTTTGTCAGACAATCGATTAACCTAAGTGGACCAGTCGTGTGTTGGATAATTTACCCTTCGCCAAAGTTTCATTAAAGCTCACATTGCTAGGAAAGTCACCAGGTCTATTATCATGCCGCAGGGACTCTCAGTTGTGCAAACGGACTATTGCGAAGTATCAACAACAACGGAACGTAATGAGATTTGAGCTTATCTTATGAGTCTTGGAGAAAGGGAAAAACTAAGAGAGATGAAGGTATTGGAGAGCATTCACTTCTCTTTCTCTCTTTGCAGTTCTCTACGGTTAGCTTGTCCTCTAACTTTAATTAAAGACTTTTATCTCTTTGCAACCTGTTTAGTATGTTCGAAAACAGCTTCAGTATGAGGGAAAAGTGTCCAACATATTTCTTGATCATTATTTTCATTATTTTAAAATTCATTTAAGGTATTTTTAGCCAGTTATTTACTAAAATTTTTTGATGCTTTTTATTTATCAATTTATTTCATTTCTCATGCATTTTTAACTTTACGTGGAATACTTTTCTACCGTGTGATGTAATTTCAAATGCATGAGCTCAGCCGTGTATGTGCAACATTCTCTCAGATATTAAGGGTGCATTTTCGTCGAAGGTATATGGGTAGAAGAGCGAAAAGAAAAGGATTTTTAGAGATGAGAGAAGCCAGAATATTGTCTCTTGGGTGTCATATCATCTTCCACTATGTCTTCCATCACTAGGATGATCCGCTCGAGAGTTCCGATCTCGGTAAGACGTGCACACGTTCGGTCTCTTGAGGTAAACGAGTAGTGAGTGTCATTAAACGTAAAAATCATGTCTAGACTTCTTTTTTACAGCACTTTTCTTTGTATTCACTTTCCTTATACGATAAAGAATTATTAACTTTATGGATTGTTTATCTACAAATGAAGAAAAATGAATGCCGTTGATTAATAAAAATTCAAACCTCTTCAAGTATTCTTGCTGTTGACTTCTTCAATATTTTATTGAAAGAATGTTTCAGGTGTGAAATAAAATTTGTTTACAGTGAATCTATATTTTTAAATAACGACTCTCAAGGCATCTGAATTCTATAGACTTCTTTTATGTTCCATGTTTGAGGAAGAGGTTCGATATCTTGTTGGATGACGAAGATTCACTGTAGAATGTCGCAATGACGTTACACGTACTTGGAGGAAATCGAACGACTCGTCGTGCGATCTATTGGCCGTGTGTTTCAATGTCTTAGAATTCGCGTACCTCCATGTACACGGAGAAAAAATTCCAATAAAAATTACCGTGCTCAGCACAACAATCCACGCGCAAATGTCAATTCCCTAAAAAATTAAGACAACCTTCAAAGAAAAATTAGTAATCCTTTTAAAATTTTTATTATAGATTCAATATTTATTAAGAAGAGTAAAAGTAAAAATTCTTATGCAGCACGGTAATATTCGATAAATATTAATTTTTATTCAAACTTTAAACAAAAATTAGTAAGTGACTAGAAAAAAATGAGAATCTGTATATAATTTATTATGATCCGTGTGGTAGGAAAAATTCGGGTGCTCTCCTATAATTTTTTCTATTCTCGAGAGTTTCCGTGCTGGGTCGGGAATCTTCGAATTATCGGTCCAACACAATCTTTCTTTGTATTGTAAGACCGTTCACACAATCAAAAATATAAGCCGTAAAACGTACAATTTAAGACGTACGCGTGCATACTAACATCATAATAAGTTAAAAATTGGTTTGTACGCATGCGTACATCTTACGGCTTTTGTTTTTGATTGTGTGAACACCCTCAGTGCTATAGTTACTTTTTCCATATTGTAAACAAAGATGACATTCATATTTTTCGTTACGATTCAATATTGGCGGCAACACGTTATATCTTAACAATTTATGATAAGCTTAAACGGATTGACGCGGTGGACTCATGGGTAAGCGTCAGCTTGACACACGATGGGTCGCGGGTTCGAGTCCCGGCCGAGACAAAAGTCATTTATATGATTTTTCTCGGGCCACCGTGAGCGGGAGAGGAAGATCTCTTCGGAGAGCCGGGTGGTTGTATCGACGACACAGGTTTTCTGCGTAAGATCCCGATCGTAGGGATGGGGGGGGGCAGTATTGTAAAACGTGTGCCGTATTTCATTCCAACGAATTAATTAGTTAAGAAAGTTAATTATCAATGAACCTAATTTATTTATTTATTTGTTTATATAACCAAAAAAATTATCACTAAACTTAAATAAAATTGTTTGTCGGTTACGTAGTTATCACAGCTAACGTTACTAAATTTTCAGGTGCTGTGGAACACTAAATTTTCTGGTGCTGCCAAAGTAATTTTCAAAAAACTGAATGATACATTTTCTTATGTAACTTATAATTTTTGTATGTTGATCATTACTTTTTACTTTTCAGTAAGTTTGAACTCACATTCTTGAGCAGCACGGTAATTTTTGTATGGATTTTTAAATAAAAATTAACGGAATTTTTTCTCCGTGTAGAACTACTAAAGTAACGGAAGTACATAACCGTAAAATAACTTTATCTATAGGTCTCAGTCACGCACATTCGACGATTGACGACATGAAATAGCTTGCTGAAAAATAAAACTATTTTAAAGTACTAGAGAATTGATTTACTAACATTCAAAGTGTCAAAAGAAAGTAATAAAATTTTTTATTATAGTGAAAATAATCTCCGGTTTATCATCAGTTGTCAAAACTGAATAACAAATGATGGTAAAAAGCTGAAAATCTAGCATGAGGTTGCATGAAAAACATCCATTAATCCCAGCTTGTTGAGCTATTTTTCTCTTTTTTCCATCAACGAAAAAATTGCTGATTAATCAAAATATCGTTAAATTACATATTTATACTGTTAAAAAAATTTACATTCTTCTCTGAAACATATTCCTTTTTGTCTCGATGATTTCAGTGATAAAAATATTGTAGGAAAAATAAGAGTTGCTATTTAAGGGCTTTGGTGATGCTTCAGTAATAAGATAAATTTCGAGAGTAGTTCATTGAAATAAAAATCAATATTTTTTTGTATCTTTTCCTTTATCTGCGAGCTGTTTCATTGACATTTAGTCGGGGATTATAAAATTATGTCATGCATGGTACAGTATCCAGTAATATGCTCATATGAAGCTTCATTGTCCTAGAATTGATTCTCTGTCCATAGCATCATAAGCACTAGTTGCGTGCTTTTATAATTTTTTTAATTACTAATACAGTGTAAATCTCAGTTTTTCAAAATGCATTATTTCAATGTGGATAAGTGTGTTAAATATGACGTCACCCATTTGATTAACATTGTAGTCACTTTTTACACACTTAGATCTGCGTTAAAAGTGACTACAATGTTAATCAAATGGGTGACGTCATATTTAACACACTTATTCGCATTAAAATAATGCATTTTGGAAAATTGAGATTTACAGTGTATATTTATATATTTTACAATCTAGATATAAATAAAGTCATTTTTACTTTTCAAGATTCATTTATCCAAGTTTTATAGCAATTGTTATTTTCCAAAATTAAGTATTTTATTTAAACACTGTAAATTTGAATGTTTTATTTTTAAACATTAAAAGTATTTTAATATGACGTCACCCATTTGATTAACATTGTCTCGATTTCAAACGTTTTTAAGTGTTTTAAAATAAAACACTCAAATTTACAGCGAATATAGTATGATTTTGAAAATACATCGCCATGCTGTTTATACATTTGTTTATATTAGTTTATGATTGAGACTAGATCTCATCTGACGTCTTTTTTATTCTTTCAATAGTCCTGTTAAAATTAATAAACCATCTTCCAAATCTTCTGTAATTATTCTCGAGTCTGTCATTTCATTTTCGTTGCAATAAATTGTAACAAATAATTCTCATGGTGTTTTGAATCTATCAATAAATGGCAACGGTGTTGAAAAATAAATGCAATGTATTACTGTAACACCAGCCATTGTAATAGAAATTTTCTTTTGTTCTTTGCAATATTTAATTGAGTGGTACTTTCATTAAGTCATCAAAACTCTCAAAGAAGAAGTAAGAAATCAATTCTTGTATGGGTTGTTACGTAGGAAGTTGATTGCAAAGATTCTTTTGACTTCTTGAAGATATTCTCTTCTAAGTTCTACATGAAAAAAAGAAGTAAAAATTGCTCTGACATTTAGGGCAACCGTGGTAAATTTCACAAAGTAAAATTTACCCTACTAGAGAGTAATTTTATAAGATTTTACAAACGTGTTAAAATAATACGCATGAAATGTGTTTAATCTAAAGTTTTCATAAACTATACATGTTTCGTAGATACTTTTAAACACTTTAAGTGTGTAAAAAGTCTATAGTTTGTTTCGGGCATTTAACATTGAAGAGGCTTAGTGTGTGAAAAATGTCTACAAAAATAACACCCTTAGATTTACAGTTTATTTTCACAATAAACAAATACTTTATTTTACGAACGTTTTACTTTTCTTTTTTAAAATTTTTACACCTCGACGTAAAACAAACGGCGACGGTGCTTGGTCGCGTAACGTATGTTGCTGATTCATTAAAAAAAGGAAGTATTTTAATGTAAAAGTTTAAAATGCGCTATGGGCATGACAGAGTAAAAGAATATTTATCCTGAAGAAATTTTTCACGCTCATTAGAATTACATGTAATTTGATCTGAGAAAATTAAAAAAAATAATTAATTTGAATAAAAAGTTTATATATTTCATTACATAAGATATCTTTTGGACAGGAAATGCTTTTTTTGTTGTAAGAATTTTTTTTTCAATCATACAGGGTAGTCTCCGATAAATAATTATTTTATAATATTGTTCTAATATTAAAATTGTCAGAAAAAAATACAACTCAATTTAATACTCTTTTCTGTATTTCTTTTTTTTATCTGATTTTTTGACTTACAGCAAACTATTTTATTCAAGGAATTGTTTTGACTACATTGATAAAAAAATTTTTGCTATACAAAAAATGTTGTTTTAGTCAACAAAAATAATTTGAATTTAACGACATTTTGTTTGAAAAATGTATTTTGATATTTGGTTTAAGATTATGATAAGTTTGAATGAAACACTGCAATCCAAGTGCATTTTTGTTACACATCTAAACATTCTTAATTTAATGCCACTGATTTTATTAACATTGTAGTTACTTTTAATGCATTTTGAAGTGTGTAAAAAAGGACTACAATGTTAATCAAATGGGTGACGTCATATTTAACACGTTTGGATGTGTTATAAAAATGCACTTGGATTTACAGTGAAGTGATATTAAATTAATGTTGAGGAAATTATAAGATAAATTAAAAGATGAATTCAATAAAACATTAAAATAAAGCCATAGAGGAGAAGATAGGAGTATGGGTCACTTTTTTTCTTTCAATTAAATTTTACTCTGTTAAATTCATCGTTAATTGTCACTTTTCGAAGTTTCTATTTATTGTCAAAAATTTATGTTTCAATATATTTGTGAGTAAGCTGATAAAAGACGCACTGTGTTCGCATAATAAACGAATGGACCATATTAAAGATTGGACCATAATCCTACCTTTTCTTCTACTGAGATAATTCTGCTCAAAATGATTAAACACAATAAAGATGAATAATCAAAAAAAAGTATTTTACCAATAATTGATCAATGACAGAAGGATCATCAGTGTTACAACAAAACAATTAGTGACACATTTCAGAGAATGACAATAACTTGTGATTATTTATTGTGTGAGTAAAATAGGCGATGGAGGAATGTAAATGTAACATCTTGCTTTAGTTAGTTCGGATATTGAATCTGGCCAATATCCGTGCGAATATTTTAGTGGTATTCGGATATAACAAGGTATTCGAAATATTCTGGCGGACACAGCGCGTGTGGCTTTCTCATTTCTGTGTTTGGAATATTTTGGGTAGCCGCTAATATTCCAACAGACTATACTATTATACGAAGGCTCGAGAGTACAGCTTGACGCTTCGAAACGTCGAGAAATGATTGCTGTATGCAGCATCCCCTTTCTATCGTTCCACGTCAGTGCACCTCCCTGAAGCGTTTCACCACCTTTCTAGTGGTGTAGAGAGGGGTTTAGCTGTTCGACGAGTCAATGAGTCGTAGCTTTTGACTCCCTGGAGAATCGATGATGAGCATTATTGAGAGCAGAAGAGAAATCATTCTAAAGAGATACTAATTACCATTTATAAAAAAGCATGGTAAAATGAAAGAGAGAAAAGCGAAATAATGAAGGTATTTTTTTCCGCAAGCAATTGACCTAAAAACTCATCCAATCTTTCTTCTAATGGGGATGATGTATGAAGATAATCCGGTAGAAAAAACTTTTAGTGTATTCTTGGGTATTCCGGGTTGATATGCGTCTGTACCTACCCCATTGAGCGCTCTCTGACGATTCGACCTCGCACCGACAGTGTCAGTATCGACTGGGCGCGCCACTACTGAGGGGAAACATCGGGCGATGTACGCGGGTGGGGCTGGAGCCGCTGTTTGGCTTCCACATGGTTACGTCTTTCCCTTCCACCCTAACGTAGATCCCGGTAGAGCTTTTCTCCCTCGTTTCTATGAGGCCAGGGAAGTTGGATTTTCGCGTCGGCGTATCCTGTTAGTGCTGCCACATGGCGTGTAGGACCGGTGCCAAGTTCGGAAGCTTTCGGCCAAAATCGAGACCTATCGTTTCATAGTGAGGGGGTGGTAGGGATGGTGAAGAGGGTGGGAAACAGAGCGAGGGTGATACGACGATTCGCACATGGGCTGGTATTGGCTCCCAGGGCCGGCGCGCAGGGTGTTCGTGTGCGTCGACGGCAAGGCGAAGATAACCGAGTGTTCTCTCTCTCTACAGCAGCACCACAGCAGCAGCAACACTGACGCGGCTCGCGGCACAACACCCACTAAAGCGGCCAGCGTCAGTACTAAGGTGGGCGGCCGTCCGAAGACTTTGGTGTGGCTCAACAGACACGAGGTCCAGGGAGTGTCCTCTCGGTGGTGGTGTGCTTGACGGTTTTTTCATCATTGATGATTATTTTGTGCTCATTGTTGTGGAGTTTAGTGTTATTATTGTGTACACCGCGTGAAATTGCCGGGAGATTAACATGTTGATGCCGGGTAGAACCCGGTACTTGAACATATATTAACAATTATCTCTATGAAAATGAATTCAATACTGTTGAGATGGAATTGATACTGAAAGAGTGCTAAGAATAATAGTCTACCATTTGGAGTAAATAGACAGAATAGAAGAGTATCATTTTTTGAACATAGCCAGTAACACAATCCACTTGAACTCACTTTGAGTTTTAGTTATTTGGCGATTGCTTGATACAGTTGGCGTCCTGATGGCGTTTTTTAGATTTCTAGCAGTAAATTTGTGTTAAAAAAGTATTAGTTAGATAATTGTGGAGGGTGCGGCAATATTCGTGAGGCGCTAGCGTAGAATGAGCTTTGGTCCTGGTGAGGACTTTGAAATAAGTCACGAGGATTTGGAGACTGTCATAATGACAATGCTAACGACAACAAGGGTGGTTGGATTGAAGAGGGTCGGGAGCAGCAGACCATTGTCATCAAGAGTAAATAAAAGAATGAGCTGGATAAATCGAGCATATTGTAACCGATATAATAGTGTAAGATTGTTACTCGCAGAGTCGACGTCTCATACAATGACGACGATGATGATTGGCAAATCAGTTGAATGTGAAAGCCGGTGGTAGCGCAGACATACCGGTTTCAACTGGTGCATCGTTTCAAGTGCTGTTTAGTATTTATATGATCAAATTTAATATTATTCATTTATAATCTAGTGGTAATTGTTAGTGCCGGTGAAGTGTTTAATTAAGAGTGCCGGGTGAAAACGTGTTGCAGGTTAATTACGTCGATTAGAAGAGGACAACGTATTTTTATTATTTGTTTATCCGCCAAGCAGTCACGCGTTTGGTGACAAACAGCGGAGACAGCTGAAGCGAAAAAAGAGGCTAAAACAGAGGAAAAGGGTGCTGGGATGTTGAAACCCTGCTCGAGGTGTTTAGGACTGAGGACCGTGAACGGTAAATCGGTACGGTCTACGAGCAGGTCGTCGTGCACAGATCACAAGCAACCCGGTGTCCGGTAGCTCGTCCGTCCTTTCTCATCGACGCCCCTGGGCAATGTGCCCACCCGCCGGCAACGCAACGTGAGTTTCAACACTCATTTACGTAGTAATTACTTTTTTTTATTATCTTTAATCTTGCTATTTTTCAATTCACTGACCTCATTCAATCAAAATCATCTTAAGTACAAAATAATATCCACGAAACAAACTTCACTTATGTAACATGTCTGTTGAATACTTCATTTTATTCTGGGTTTATTTGAAATTCACCAATATAATAAGCTGGATTCAAATAAACTCAAGTTATTTCAAGCACAAGTGAATAGTTTAAACATCTTGTTAGTGTTTATAAAATGTTTTACATTCATTCGTCAACATATATTTAATGAGTTTTTTGTTTTTATTGAAATATATATTTATCACCAATACACAATCAACCAGGTTTATAATCATTGTAACTGTTCAATGATTCAAGCCGTTTCACTCTATATATTTATTATTGTTGAAATACACAGTTTTTAGTAATTCACAGTATTATAGACTTAACAATCATTTTTTGACATTTACATAGCGAAAAATCAACAAGTTTCAATATTATGTGTTTTAACATCTATTCATGTTGGAAATCTGAAAAAATTATTTTTTCATTTGTCATATATTGATATGAGGATTTAGTTTCATCAAATAAAATTGATTAATAGTTGATAAATACCTGGTTTGATGTATACTCAGCTGAGAACCTGATGTCTAGGTTAACAATTAATGCATTTTATTTAAAGAACATTTTTTAAGCCAAATGCAGATTTATTAATTAATTGAGGAATTTTATTATACATTTTAAGAGCCGATGATTATATTCGAAAAGAGGTTGAAAATATTTAATAAAATTGCAGATTATATTATTCTGTGGGATTCTATTATCAATCCCAAAATATACTTTACAAAATTCTATCTTATAGTCCGATAACGTAAATATAAATAAATAGAAAAAATAAAGGAATTATCATGTTTAGTAATATGAGTTGATAGAGTTTTCATAAAGTTATCTCACAAATATGCACAATAATGTCATATGTTTAGAGGAAAAGGTAGGATTATAAATGACTTTTCGTTTTTATTAACTCATATTTTACTCAATTGAATTATCACCAATCATCATCTCTCAAATTTTCTGTTTATTGTCAAGAAGTTATTTTTCAATACATTTAAGGGTTAGCTGATGGGAGAATTAGGGTGCTCACAAAATAAACGAACGGACTATATTATTGACTGGATCATAATAATTAATAAATGAAGATTCGAGTTGGATAGAAATTGAAAAAAAAAACTAAGTAATTGTATTTATTTAATAAGAAACAAATATTGTTATCAGTGAAAAATTAATAAGTTTATACTATTTTCAGTAATTTAAATTGAAATGATAATGATGATGCTAGTTATAAAAAAAAACATAAACATTTAATAAAATTTGCTATAATGTATGTTTTTTTTTCTCTTAAAAATCAATGACACTTGATCAATGCCAAGTTGTTTTATATATTTGGCAGAAATGTAGCTTCTGATAAAAAAAAGAAAAACTTTAAAAAGTTTATTTGTTGATGAGCTAAGATTAATTGTTTGAAAAACAGTGGCACTTTTGATATAAACAATTAAATATCTCGAGAACTATTAGTGATAGAGAGTTGAGACTGGTCTCATTCCTTTTCTCGTGAAAAGCTTTAAAAATTATACGCATCATGTCTCGATCTCCGATGCATTGTTTTGAAGATATTTAATACCAAAAAAGCTGTTTTTTTATAAACAAAAAGCATATTTTACCATGTGGTCACAAATTCATACAGATGTCTGCCGTCATTAAAAACATCTCAATGAGCGAAATTGGTTAATGTTCAACAGACTTTCAAATTAGGCTGTTTTTTGAAGCATATTGACTGGACTATGCACTAAAAATCAATACTACCTTAAACTTAAATATGCTTTTAGTAATTAAAATTATTTTTATTTGTTATAATTAAGGGTTGTTTACGTCAATTTCGCAAAAAAAAATTATTAATTCAATCATCGTTTTTGATCATTAATAAATTTTGCAATGTTTGATTGATGGTATATCGACATATTAATTAGTTTTATTATCATCATAATACCACGATAATTATATTAATTCCGGTCATGTAAGTTTGTATGTAGTAGAAAATACCCTGCAGCAATTTTTTAACCATTTAAAGCTTCGGTGAATTAAAAATTGATTTTTTAAACGACGCTTTCGTAATGATAAATACGATTTTTAGATATGCCAATTTTTATTAATTAGAATCGTTTATCAGTCTTATCGATACTTTTTTTCACATTGGTCATTTGTGAGCTTGATAAAAAGCTGCTTTTTACTTTCATTGATTAAGTATTCCATAATATAGAAGCTTAAATAAAAAGCTCCATGCTTCAAAAGAATAATTTACTAATTCAACTATTTAATTGATTTGTTCAAGTACGTTCTGATATTGCAGTTTGAGTTTTATTTAATGAGTTTCGAATATTATGGAACTTCCATATTTATTTACCTATTTCAAGCTTTTGAATGTAAAATAGGTTATCTAATGATATGTACTTTACATAGAGTTTTTTGTTTTGGAATTCTTTTAGTTACTGTAAATGCATGTTTCTACTTAAAATCCGCTTGAAAAGTAAAACTTGGAACCTCACGTCTTTGTCTCTTCTTCTTTCTTCGAACCACGGGCGTGAAACTACAAAAAGGTGGAGAGCATGGAACAGAAGAACGCAACGCGAATCCTCTTGGGAATTGTATTCCCTTCGCGTATCGATCGTTCTGAGGGAGCACACCCTTGTGCAGTTGAAGCAGGTCGGAATTCTAATGTGTAGTTTAAATTGAAATGGTTAAGTGATGAAGAAATATAAAAACAGGCATTTAGTAATTCAAATGAAATTTTATAAAAATATTCAAGTACTGAGAGTTGAAAGACAAATATGAGTTTTGTTTTATGCTTCAATTGACGTCAATTAATTTTTATTCGTTTTTTTTTATTCGTTCTTGGGTACTTATGTGGTTTAAGCTTTTTTTTTACACTTTGTTGTAAATGTCATTATTATTGTGGAGTAAATAAAAACAAGATTTTTTTTTTGCAAGTAAAAAAGATCTAGAAGTGAAGATTTTATTATTTTGGTGTATGAATAAATGGTTGCACAGAATGAATGCACAGAAAATATTGAGAAAATTTTTTCGTTTAATTTTAAGGTAAATTTTGTGGAAAAAAAAGTTAAAAATTTATCTTTTTGAAAATTATGAGCTTACTATTAACATTGGTGTCATGTGTGTGTTTGTATGTGATGAATATCAATGTAACAAAGGCAAATACGTACTGCAAAGTATTTCATATTTAAAAAAAAAATTAACAATGATAAAATGGAAAACAATTTTACCGCAGATTATAAAGATTGGTAAGGTTTATTTTCATTATAATTCAACAAATTACATTCTAATAATAAGCAAAAAAAAATAAATCACAAAATTTTCCATACAAAATGCAAGTAAGAATATATTCTTAATTTTATTTTGTATGAAAAATTTTTTGATTTATTTTTTTATAATTATTATATGTATTATTATAATATTATTATTATATTTTTATAATTATTATAATTTGTTTTTTAATCTTATGTAATTTTAACAATATATTACAGAGTGCATAGCTCCAAAACAAATAAAAATTTAAAGTTGAAAAATTTCATTGCAATAATATTCAAAGGTAGTTAAAAAATATTTATTAAAAATTATTCATTCTTTGATAAAATGATATTTCTATGATTTCATTATAGCTTACTCACTAAAAAAGAAATAAGTAAAATCACTGCAAAGGTATTAACTATCAAGTGCTAAGAAAAAAATATCCATCATTTCATTCTAATTTTTATTAATCATTATTATGGAGAAACAATTTAGCTACATAAAATGAAAGTATTATTTGTGAATACTGAATAGCACAGTGATTACACTAGTTGTCATGCAGTAACAAAGCCAAACAACTTGAGCCCGGGTTAGTCCTTGGATGGATGACTGCTCCAATAACCTACCCACACTCACTGCAAATCTCAATGTTTGAAAATACGTTATTTTATTTCTGAATAAAAGTATTAAATCTGTTTTTAATCTGATTGTTGACTGTTCCAATCGGAAAAGGATCAAGTTTTCTTCGGTCAAAAGACTCAGAATAGACTTCTTAAGTAGAAATTTTCGCTAAGTACACCTAAAGACCAATGAAATTTTCATGACGAATTCTTTACTTTATTAAGATCTAATATGAACCTAACAAACCTTTCATTAGAGCTATTCCAAACAAAAACAGACTACATTTTCAACCGAAGAATGCTTGTTGTGCTCATTCACTGTAATTAAATCAGTAAATTGACAATACTGGTCAAAAGTTTTTGATCACATTCTCAAAATAGTAATATGTAAAAAATTGGAAAAAAATGTGGTATAGTAGTTATTACGTTTAATTTAAAATTAATTTATTTTCATGTAATTACAATGTTTAAATTAGTAATGTAATAACAATAAAATAATAGGTCTGAACACACTTTGTCTGTGCTAACACGACGAATTTTCCATTAGTAATTGTTTATAACAAATTCATATTGTTATAAACAATTTGTAATCGTTAAGAGTCATCATTAATATTATTTTGTTAAAAACATCGAAATCAGTGTGTTATACGCATTAGTTAGTCGTATTTGGTTGTGAACAATAGTGTCTAGTCAATATTGACTTCATTTTCGTCAAAATTGTTCCGCTTAGAAGTATTTTAAATAGTTGATCTTTTTATTTATTCATTACTAGTTTTTTTGTTATAAAAAAAATCTCCTCAACCGAATTTGTTCAAATTTCTTTCAGATCTTCTTTACAATAATATCTTTCGAATAAATGTTAGTTGAAGTTGATATCTTAATCTGTTCTTGGGATATCATAAACGAAAAAAATACTGACATCCATACGTATATACATCTGTACGTACGTACAGACACACATCATTCTTAAAATTGGTCTGTATGGTTGCAAATATCTTAAA